TCCAATGCATCGACACGTCCACAAGAGAATCGATACGTTTTTTCCCCCTCCGGTCTATTTTTATCCATTTGCTCCTGGGTGTAATTCTCCCTCCCGTGCTGCTGTGGCGCTAAACCTATTTTGCCCTCCTACCTCTCTTCCTGGTTATACTCTTACAGCAGTGTGTTGCAGTAAGCTTGACACAGATTTTTGATTTATGCTTAATATTGAAGCATGGTCCGCACTACACGCTGTGGGTCTAGATACCCCGAGGCGGTGAGGAATTCCTGGATAAACCATAATCTAAACTACAGAAGATTAGGCGGTATAGCCAGATTATGAGCCTTGTTGAAATTAGCTAACATCCTACACTTTATTCCTCGTGGAGTTTCAGACCAATGCCAGCATACACTCTGTATTTATTTAACCAACAGTGTAGAATGTGATCTCATACAAATCTTGCTTATTGTAAAATACCTCATAATGAATCACCATCAGGTGAGGCTACCTATGCTCCTTTTGTGCAGCAAACACCACAAAGGGGCGGGGTCCTGCTATTGTGACGTTAAACAATAAGTCAAAGATTTTAAATATGAACAGCAGTTTTAAAACTCATACTCAACTCAAATCAACAAATCAAGAACAACTCAGACATCATCAGGTCTTAATCCAAACGTTTGATGCCTACAACGCTAGCAGAAATATGTCTAATCCTAATATCGCAAAAGTTCCCATTTCCCTAAATCATTTGGATCGCAGGAAATATTGGCCCACTGGGGGCCCGCGGGCCCCACACTGAGGACCTAGACTGGTTTGCTGATTTCCAGTGAGGATTAGAACCCAGAGAAATAAGGAAAAAAACAAAAGGAAATTATCAGAAGTTCATATGGAATCACAGCTTTATCATTTCTATTTCCTGCCCTCATGCGACTCCATTGAGATTATAGAAGTTATTTCTGAATCTGATCAAAGCTTAACATTAGTTTTAATGGTGAGATTGGATGGATTATCTCAGGATCCTTTAACAGTCAAAAAGTGGCCACCTTAGATCGGTTTTAAACCACAGGAAACCGTCTTTAACATAATCCAGATTTTTGTTAATCTAGGCTCCATAGTGAGGAAAGTTAAATCTGTCCAACAGACACCTAACTTTATTAGTTTAATGGTCATATTCTAACAGCTTGGTCATCTCCAGTTGTTAGATTTATAATCCAGGACTCCTCGCAATGATGTGAAAAATGATCCTAGCCTGGATTAGATTGAATTGCAGCTTTAACTCCAATCCTCGTTATATTGATGCCCCACCCTCCCATACTGACTATAAGCTGCCATTCAACATCCCGATCCTTGTTTAATTTATCCGCTGGGTTCCACTCTGCCTCCATGTTGTTTCTGGACCGGCTGAGCAGAACCCGCCGGAAGGCCGCCAGCCGGACTGCATGCTAATGGTTCGATCAGCTGGGATGTTCGGCCCAGCAGCACCGCAGCCTGATAAGATGGCCGCCCGAAGCTCCACGCCACGGCCAGAGGCCCGGCCCCGCTCCCAGAGGAAACGGAGCAGAAGCCCGGGTCGACTGGAAATGGATTCGGTTCCGTTCCGAACCAAAGTACCGATCCCGGTACCGGAAGCTTTTCTCTGAGAGCCACGCGTCGACTGGAGGCTACGGCTGTCGGACCCACAGGAGCGACAGCCATGCTAGCTAACAACACGCTACCCGCGAGCCGCCTGCCGGAGAGCCGCGGGACGCACGCGGCGAACGTCCAGATCGAGCTGCCGGGCCTCGGTACCGTCGAACGGTGATTCACCGAACAGTTCTTACCATTTTACTCCGGGATTCTTCCGCACTGCGTCGGTATCAGACGAAGGTGTCTGGAGGAGAAAGATAGCAGGAATGTAGCCGAGCGACCGGAGGAGGAAGAGGAGGAGGAGGAAGGAGCAGGGATCTAAGGGGGCGGGGCTTCTGCTTCTCCTGCTTTATTTCCTTTTTCCAACATGGACTTTGTCTCATGGTGAAACTGATTAATGGCGGTCATCCTCGATCTAAAAACCCACTGATAACTGATCCGCTCCCAGGAGCAGTGAGGTCACTCCTCTCAATGAGGGTTTGGGATTAATGAGGGATTTTAATCACAACTCCAGCATGTGGGCGCGCGCTCTCTGATAGAGGCCGCTGTGAAGATGAAAGAAGTCAGTTTCACAAACTCATCCCAGAGTTTTATGGTGCTATTACCGCCATAGAGAGACAGACAGACACACACTCCCTCCCCCAGAAGCGATAACAGACCGATTCTAAAGCCCTGAGCTGGGATTATTGTCCTCCATCAGGGGCGGATTTAGGAAATGTGGGGCCCTAGGCAAAGACAGGCAGGGGGCCCCCTGAACTGAGAAGACAACACATAGGACAGACCCATTATACAGACAGGGGAATGTTACTAGAATAGAAATTCATTATTTGTTCTAGGTTTTGTCCTTCTCTTCTTGTAGTTTTCCTCTCTATGTTTTGTACTCAGCTGACTTTTCATGCCGTCTCAAAAGGAATCAAAGATTTTTTTTTTTAACCCACTGTAGACAAGCCATGATCTGCTTATGTTCTCCATTTTTCATTTGGATGAAATAATAGCTGCATGAATCATGACAGCAGACAAGATAGAGGAGAGCAGGAGGCGAGGTTACCAATCTACTTGCTCTGGAGAGCAGAGTTCGCTGCTTTTAAAGTCTCCAAAATCTCCAGTAGCAGAAAAAAGTTGCTATATTTGGCGCTAGGCGCTTTTTGAAATCAAAGTGCTAGAGGGGTCTGAAAAGTCGCTAAATATAGCGACCAAAGCTCCAAGTTCGCAACACTGCTCTTAGCATTGTTTTCAAATGGTTTGCTGCTGTCTGTTTGGACCTTTCTGAACATTTGCAGCAAATGGACTGATCCAATATGGTGGACACTGCAGGAGGGGGCTGAGAAACACTTATTATAAGCGTTCTGATGGCATTTTTGCCAAAGGATCTTTATCAAAGACATAAATAATGTGCAAAAATAAGGAATAGTTGATTTAACCGGGGGTGGGTGTTCTTCTCCTCCAGGGTGCCAGGCTCAGGTGAAGAGCAGAGGAGATGGCGTCTTTGCCGCCAGGCGCCGCCATATGCAACTGCCTGAGGCCTGCAGCTCTTCCGTCCCAGTTTTTCCTAATAAGGCCTTCTGCAGTCTCTGCAGCTCCATAGCATAACGCTCCCACTCCCTTACCTCACAGTTAGGATGTTCTCCATTTCAGAGCCTTTTTTTCCCTCCATATGTGACATGGGTCAGTATTAAGAACACGGGCCTTTCTTTCCTGACTGCATCAGAAAACAGGTTTTTCTCCTGCTGTAATTGGACCTCTCCAAGTGCCCTTCAATTTAAGACCATGTCAGAACGAGCTTCCCTTTGACTTTTAGAAACGAATCAAAGACAGTGAAAAAAATGACTTGAAAAAATAAGCCCCTTATTTTTCTTGTAAAACAAGCTGAATAACCATAAATATTGCTCCTAATATTTGACTGCTAATCTACACAAACGCTCCCCATACATCTCACACTACATAGAAAGTAAGAAATCAATGGAGGGCAGGTTTCACTAAAAACTGTTTATTTTAACATTAGAACAACATCAGAACATCAGGATAAACGGTCATAAATAAGGAGAGCAAAAAGAAAGTTTTGACTAATAAATACAGAGCAGTGGGGGGTGGGGGTCTGCAACAGCTCCAGTGTAGTGTCTCCAGCTGATGTTAACCCAGCGAACACAGACGGGGCACAGTGTACCAAAAACATCAGAACATGGTGCAGTAGTCCCAAACAGGATCACTAAAACCGCAGCTACCAGAGAGCTTACAGGAACAAGTTCTCAGCAGGACACAGCTAGCTTTACCCTTCCCTCGTATCTAAATGGAATGTGAAGAACAAAAGAAAAAGAAAAGGAGCATCTTTCCTCCAGGCCGCTCCTGTTTGGCTGTAATCTTTGTTCTAACTCAACTTTAAAACAGCAGCACTTCCTGTGAAAAGCTCGAGCTGCAGGGGTTCAACTAGAAGAACCTGAACAATCAAACCCTGAGCCAGAGGCAGGAGGAAGAACAGCATCTTCGGCTGCTCCTCTTCCCCTTTCTTTATTCCACTGAATCTTAGAATTTATTGATTAACACCAAACATAAACTCTCTTTACTTTCATAACATCTCAAGGGAACAATTTTTTCCTCTAAACTCATTTGATTAATGAAACTGGATCGGATCTATGGATTGCTCGCATTAAACATCCGCTTTATGGCAACTAAAGCTGTTTTAAATATCAAATATATAAATGTTAGGGGGCTCTGAAGGATCTGCATATTAACACTCCATTCAAAGAAAAACAATCTTATTCAAACATTCAGATATTAAAGTTTTAGGAAGATTACATCTCTTACATAAATAACCAAGTTTAGTTATCTTTTAATTTATGCTTCAAAGAGCAAAAAGATTTGGGATTTAAATGGGCGTCTTCATATTTTATGGCTTTCACTTTCATTTCCTTTATGTACATCTGAAAATGCTACATATCTGCTATAAGAAAATAACTCTACTGAATTATGAAATAAAACAAAATTTTTAAACTACAAACGGGTTCTGTTTCCAGTAGTTTAGGTTTGAAGATTCAGAGTTTATATTGATCAACCTGAAATATTCCTGTGATGGAAGGATGTCCGCCTGGACCAACAAACCATCAACTAAACGACCGCTTCTCGCACACACAGTTCACACCTATGTACATTTGATCGTTTTCACTACGGCAGCGTCAGAATGCTAACGTTTGTCCCTGAGCAATCACGTAAAGCCGAATCAGTTGGAAGTTTATGGGTCAGTGCAAACGTTTCTCAGTGGTTTTAAATGAAACAAGGTGACAAAATGAGCAGGGACTCTACTATCCTACAGCACCATGTTTGGCAGATCAACGCACCTGTTGACACAGTGGAAAAGAAATGCCTTGCAGACCACAGGAAGAACCCCAAGGCCTTTCTACAAAGGTTTCACCTCATAGCAGGTGAACAGAAGTAATTCTCTCCAGTCAGAGCTGCTGTAGCTGGAAGTTTTTATATATAAAAAAACATGTTTTATTCCCATTTCCCCTCTGGGCACCCTCTCTCACAGCTTGCATCAAAGGACACCTTCAAACCACACCGATGCTTTTCCAGGCCCAGGAGCCAGCAGGGAGCGGAGGGTGGAGAGGTCACTGCCGGGAGCGCTTGGTGGGCGGAGCAGAGCAGCGTTCTCTGAGGCCGAGGCGGTTGAGCTCGGAGTGGAAGAACTGCTGTAGGCGGACTCCGGCCTTGGCCTCGTTGGTCTGACGGGGATTATACTGGAGACAGTTGGAGAACATCAACTCCACGTCTGAGATGTAGTCACCTGCAGAGACAAGCAGAGGGAAAAAAACAGTTTACATTCCAGGGAGAGGGCAGGAGGCGGGATAAACTGGCCATCCTGAGACACACAATATTATAAGCGTTCTGATGGCATTTTAGCCAAAGGATTTTTTATCAAAAACATAATAATCTGCACAAATAAGGAGTAGTAATATTAACCATACATGTAAACAGAGTTTTATGGGGCCCCCAGGAACCTGGGGCCCTAGGCAACTGCCTAGTATTGCCTAATGGCAAATCCCCATGCTCAAGAGCAACCTTCACTCCATTATCAAACATGGGTAAATGTGGAATTTTTTATAAACATGGTTGATAGAAACCATTCATCTGCACAACGCAGAGCCTTAAAATGCTGTGAATCTATTGATTTTTTGTTTTTTGATTGATTAATGAGGTGATCCATAGTCAATTTAAAGGACCAATTCTAATAACCACTTAATTTAAATGGCAGTTTTACTTACAAACTTTTACTTACTGAAAGTTTTCTCTTTAATCAAAAGGATATTTCCACAACAGGAAGGGCTGAATATTCTTTTATTTTTTTTTACAATATACAGTGTTAAAAAAGTACACAGTAATATTCTAAGAATTTAATGTCAAAGCGTCATTAAACACAAAAAAATGTTTCCTAAAAAATATTTAACTTATAAGATATAAAAGCAGGAGCCTCCTCGGTTACCAAATAAAAAAAAAGTTGAGACAATTTCCCGTGAACAGAGATGTATATCTACCATCAACAGACAGCAGGCTCGAACTGGTAATCTGTGATAGCGGGCATTTGCCCGGTGGGTCGGTCCTAATTTCAGCGTGCGAGGGCCGGTGTGACAGATCAACTGGGGAGGAGATCAACTGGTGACGGCAGCTGGAAAACCGCTGATTTTTGCAGATGTGTCTGTGGGCGGGGCTATTCAGGACCCCTCGCCTCAAACAGGAAGTAAACTGCGTGTAGACTCCAAGAACTACAAATTATTTTGTTAGCTGATCGATACGAAATACGTTGAGATTTTAAGAAGTCGCCATCACAAAGGTATTTAATTGCATTAAGAAAGCATATAGCATGTTTTAGGGTTTTCTGCAAACCCGCACACAGAGATTGTAGGAACTTGTCCTGCTGTTGTTTATCTGTTTGTTTCAGAGCCTCAGCGATGAGAGAAAGAACCGAGTAGAAAAACCACAGAAAGCTGTATGAGAAGTAAAAACAGCCAGTGCAATAAAAGGTCATTGGGAACAACTAACGGTGTATTTTTTCCATTTTTTTGTCGTCCTGTATGTCTTGTAAGTTAAAACGAGCGAAAATAAAATGTTCCTCTTTTATTTTCTGAAAAGCGCCGACTGTTTATATGGAGGGAAACTAATTACTTACAGCCCAACTCGTTCCCAGAGGAGTTATAAATGTATTTAAAGTTTAAGATGTGTTGCAGGAACAAAGCAAAATAACATAACTGCTGCGGGGAAGAGTGAAATCTCTGAATTCAGTTTATATATTGTGTGAATATATGTGATATTTTGGGCATCGGGGTGAACAAATGCAGAACCTGCTGTACTAAAGCATTAAAAGAAGCAGCACAGCCTCCAGGCTAACTGCTGCCAAACAATTAATAAATAAAACGGAGATTTTACGGTAGATATCTGATCGAAAAAAAAAAAAGATCTGGTTATTATTTTTTCTTTTAATAGCATAGCATAACCTACTGTCTAACTATCTCTTAACGGGGAGGCCCCATTCTGTTCTAAGAGTAAAGAAGGAAAAAATAGTAATAATACAGGTGCTGGTCATAAAATTAGAATATCATGAAAAAGTAGATTGATTTCAGTAATTCCATTTAAAAAGTGAAACTTGTATATTATATTCATACATTACATACAAACTCATATATTTCAGATGTTTATTTTGTTTAATTTTGATGATTACAAATGACAACAAATGAAAATCTCAAATTCATCATATCAGAAAATTAGAATATTGTGAAAAGGTTCAAAATTGATGGCCCCTGGTGCCACACTCTAATCAGCTAATTAACTCAAACCACCTGTAAAAACCTTTAAATGGTCTTTCAGTCTAGTTCTATAGGCTACACAATCATGGGGAAGACTGCTGACTTGACAGTTGTCCAAAAGACGACCATCGACACCTTGCACAAGGAGGGCAAGACACAAAAGGTCATCGCTAAAGAGGCTGGCTGTTCACAGAGCTCAGTGTCCAAGCACATTAATAGAGAGGCGAAGGGAAGGAAAAGATGTGGTCGAAAAAAGTGTACAAGCAAGAGAGATAACCGCACCCTGGAGAGGATTGTGAAACAAAACCCATTCAAAAATGTGGGGGAGATTCACAAAGAGTGGACTGCAGCTGGAGTGAGTGCTTCAAGAACCACCACACACAGACGTATGAAAGACATGGGTTTCTGCTGTCGCATTCCTTGTGTCAAGCCACTCTTGAACCACAGACAGCGTCAGAAGCGTCTTGCCTGGGCTAAAGAGAAACAGGACTGGACTGCTGGTGAGTGGTCCAAAGTCATGTTCTCTGATGAAAGTAAATTTTGCATTTCCTTTGGAAATCAAGGTCCCAGAGTCTGGAGGAAAAGAAGAGAGGCACTTCATCCACGTTGCTTGAAGTCCAGTGTAAAGTTTCCACAGTCAGTGATGGCTTGGGGTGCCATGTCATCTGCTGGTGTTGGTCCATTGTGTTTTCTGAGGTCCAGGGTCAACGCAGCCACATACCAGGAAGTTTTAGAGCACTTCATGCTTCCTGCAGCTGACCAACTTTTTGGAGATGCAGATTTCATTTTCCAACAGGACTTGGCACCTGCACACAGTGCCAAAGCTACCAGTACCTGGTTGAAGGACCATGGTATCCCTGTTCTTAATTGGCCAGCAAACTCTCCTGACCTTAACCCCATAGAAAATCTATGGGGTATTGTGAAGAAGAAGATGCAATACACCAGACCCAACAATTCAGAAGAGCTAAAAGCCACTATTAGAGCAACCTGGGCTATCATAACACCTGAGCAGTGCCACAGACTGATCGACTCCATGCCACGCCGCATTGCTGCAGTAATACAGGCCAAAGGAGGCCCAACTAAATACTGAGTGCTGTACATGCTCATACTTTTCATGTTCATACTTTTCAGTTGGCCAACATTTCTATAAATCCTTTGTTTTTATTGGTCTTCAGTAATATTCTAATTTTCTGATATGATGAATTTGAGATTTTCATTTGTTGTCATTTGTAATCATCAAAATTAAACAAAATAAACATCTGAAATATATGAGTTTGTATGTAATGTATGAATATAATATACAAGTTTCACTTTTTAAATGGAATTACTGAAATCAATCTACTTTTTCATGATATTCTAATTTTATGACCAGCACCTGTATGTGATATTCTGGAATTCAAACATGTTTTAAGCGATCAGCGGACTCTGAAACATTAACTGTCACCAGTTGATCTAAGACCAGCTCTTCAACAGGCAAAGCAGACACACGCAACAGGTTCATTATAGCAGGTGGGGTCAGGTGTAGCGTTCGTATCAACAGCTCAGCAGGTAAACAGACGCCCTGCAAATTGAAACAGAATTGAAACATTTCGGCCGCGCGGGTTCGATACCACATGAACTCTTAAGCCCTCCTTTCATTTTAACAGATTTTCCACAGATGGGCAAGATAATATTATCTCCTAACTCTGAAATGACAAACATTTCCTCGCAATCAACGTTTTGTGCTGAGTTGCTTTTTGTCATTCTAATTGTACCAGTGAAGCAAACAATTTAGACAAATAGTAAAAAGTAGACAAAACAATACTCTATTGCCAGTAACTTGAAAAACGTGAATGATTTAAAGTTGTTCTGCATGCAAACCAAATAATGTGGCGTGCTCAAAACAATAGAAGGGAATAAGATGATAGCTGACTGCGTGAACATGGTCACACATCATGACAGGTTCGTGGGTAAGAAAAATAATCAACAATAACAGTTAAAAATTTAAATTAGCCTGCTACAACCCTAATTGAGGACAAGATAATAACATCCAAACATCCCAGGAGATGGAGTGTTTTACAGCCCATATTCCTCCAGATCCGCTGGATCACAAGTTAATCTGTGACACTCTGCAGATTCTGACGCTTTCAGATCCTCACGATGCGTTTATTTGATCCCCAAACTTAAATTACTCATAATATTTCACATTATCCACAGACAACAGACGTGTGTTGGATAGATATTAGGCCAGGATAAATTATAACCTTTATTCTGACCCGTTTGTTTACATTTGCGGTATTTTGATCGGGCAACCACGCAGCCAACTAATCTCTCCAAACAGCTGTGCTGTGGACCCCGTCACAAATTAATCTAGTTCTTCGTTTAAGAAAATCTGCATTTTTCTACAAGATAAAACATAAAGCAGTCATGGCGACCCACACCATAGCCGTAGCTGCTAACTCTGGGATTTAAATTCTACTGTGAAAACAGAAAAAGTAAAGTTTCCGCATCAACAGGTATGTGATTCAGATTCTATGAGCTGCAATGCGCCTAAGTAAATACATTTTACCCCCTTTTTACACATGGGGCAGTAAAACCAGCTCAGCAGCAGCCCGTTATGGTCTCATAACTGGATATTATGAACAGACTGAACACAATAGCAATAAAAATAAAGGTGTTTGACCTGATACAGTTCATCATACGGGACAAAGTTTTGGGATCCACTAAAAAAAACAACACCGTAGTAGAGACTTGTATTTGTGTCCAGACAGGAGAATAAAGGAAAGATGAGAGCATTGAATCTAAGAAAATAACTTTTTGTCAATATTCAAAAAATAAAGTGGGAATAGTTGGAAGGAGGAGAAGCCCAGTTGTTCTGTTTGCAGTCGGTTTTTCTTTAAAATGTGCTGCTTACACACGTGCCTTCTGAATGACAGGCCTCATTAATGGATTTATTTTTACATTCAGGAATTTATAAAGTGGGCGGACTTTATTGTCCAAGCTACAGGTTTTCATTTATAGCTTATCGTTCAACAGGAGAAATGACACTCCAGTGTGAGACAGACTTATTTGTATTTTTTCTTTACACTTGTGAGCGACGCTGTTCTCTGTGTGGGATTCTTTGCACTATAGGCTTTGCTATACCACATCATTCTAATCTGAAAAAACTAAACAAAACAGAAATTAATTCATTAGATATGTCGGTTGATTTTTTTGGCGAACAGTTTTGTTACGTTAGGAATATTTTTTTCGCCAGGCATCAACACAGCCACCTAAGCTTCAGTAACATCTGCGGTGCGCATAGATTCTAACCAGTTAATCTTGTCCCCAGTTGATCTGTCACACCGGCCCTCCTTAAATCATACACTTATTTCCGGGCGAAGCTCCTACCTGTGACAGTAAATAACTGAAGGAGATCAAGATCCAATGTTAACAACCTAAATGATTTATGTAGTATATATAGTCCTTCCTTGTCATGCACATCTTTGTAACGGTTGGCATATGGTGTCATTTACCATTTCTTCAAACTGCAAGATCCTTGCAACAAACTATATACAAATAAATGATAAAACTAAAATGCTTTCTTTAAACCAAACTATGATGTTCCTCTTATATTTGGCTAATTTATGTTAGAATATTTTGCAAAAATATGTTGCCGTGCATGATGGGGTTTTTCATCTAAAGGCTAATTATTCTAATGTGAATTAGCAACGCAAACATAATCCATTGCTCGCTAGCAGTGCTGTCTGGGTGTATTAAACCATGTGGATTAAAGTGGAATCTGGAATAAATTGCAACTTGCAAAAAGTCCCGTGATCAAGACTGTGTCAAGGTAGGCCGTTAGGTTTTTAATTTTGCCCACCGCGACATGTTGACTCGGGCTCACAGGCTTTGTTCGGCTCATTTGCGCTAAAAGGTGGGGTTTATTGTGTTAGGTTGACAGACTTTTTCTAGTTATATTTCTCTAAAAAAAATGGCATACTCAAACTGTATCCGTGCTCATCATGTTTTGCATTTTTCTTGGAGAGTGTGAAATATCACTATAACCTGCATTTCAATGCAAGATGGAAGAGTCGAGTGATGCTTCTAACCAAGTGTGAAAGCTTTGAAAGGCATTCAGTTGACTGTGACGGCTGTGTGTCAAGGTGTAAAATTCAGCACTACTACTGTTAATAGTAGTAGTATCAGTAGGACTGCTGGTTTAGTTGATTTGGGTCTGTTGACTAATGGAACCATGATGTTTACATTTTTCCATTTCATTGCCCACATGCCACCTAGACTGGCAGTGAACGCTTACACACCGCTGAGCTTTCATGGATTCATTCTTGAAGAACTGCCTGTCTGACTCTATATTCTATTGTTTTATGTTGGAGTTTTTACAACACTCGGCTTACGTTTCATGTTTTTTGCATTCTGAAATCTAGTTTTTGCTAGAAGAAGTGTAATTTAGGATATCCATAATGACATTTCAAATAGGAGAAGAGGGCGCTTCTAATAAATGTCATATCAGCCTGCCATAATTAGTAGGGGTGCACCAATCGATCGGCCCCGATTTCCTTAATTTAGGGTGATTGGTGATCGGCCGAAATATACATATGAAACCGATCTTAACCACCGATCTATTTACCTCCGCGAGTGTCTTAAAATCAGTTGCTATTCCATATTTTTTCTGCTCTTAGAGACGGCTGACTGAAAGACCCGCCCACCGGGTCGAGTGAACGGTAACAACATCCGGTGTCGCAGTTCACAGGTCACCAGGAGCTTCTATGTCGTTGGTTTGGAAATATTATACTGTTAAAGAAGGAGACGAAAAGCTCGCAATTTGCAATTCTTGTAAGGCCGAAATTAGTCGGGGTGGAACCACTTCCAAAAGCTTTAATACTACAAACCTCGTTCGCCATTTAAGAGACCACCACGCCGCTGAATATACAGCATTTGAAAAGAACAATCAAGCTAGGGCTAAAGCGAAAGCCACCGGAAGATAAGAGTCCGTCGGTGGCCCGCTGTTAGCTCTTATGAGCAATGAAAAAAAAACAAAGCTACTAAGAGGAAACCTATCTGTCTGCCCCATGCACAAGCATTGAAAGAGAACGCCTGTTTAGCTTGGCTGGATGAGTAGTAGTAGATGAGAAAAGAAGTCGCCTGAGTGGTGAAAAAACAGAAATGTTTTTATTCATCAAGAAAAACCTGCCACTAATGCTCAAGTGACTCCAATAAGACTGAGAGATCAAAGCTTACCCCGATAATGTTTTTAGAAGATTTAGTATTGTAAGATTTTGCAAGTTACTGTTTAGATGGCTTATGCATTTAAATGGACACAAAGCTGCTGCATTGGGGGATTTTCTTTTAAGTTGCTAGTATGTTCTCAAAGGACCTTGAACCTTGTGATTTTGTAAAAGCAAAATACTACTGTGCACGTTATTTTAGGTGAGAACCTTAAAACAGTTCTCTAATCTGATCTTTTGTTGAAGTTTTGTTTTTTGAAATGTAAAAAACTCAAAAGACCAATGTTGTAGCCTTAAGTTTGTTTTATTTAATTAATATTTATTATTTAATTAATTTCTATGTCAAGGCTCTATCGCAGTTAAAACAAGTTTATAATGGTTCAAGGCTATTGTTCAAGGGCATGTTTTTCAAGAAAAGATTGTAACATTGAAAGTGAATTGCGATCTTGTAACACAGTGTTGGATATAGCAAAAAAAATAATAAAATCGGTATCAACCAAAATCGGAATCGGCAGGTCAGACTTTTTAAAGATCGGTGATCTGAAATCGGCCAGAAAACTGCAATCGGTGCACCCCTAATAATTAGACACTGGATATGTTTTAAATAGGTTAAAGAATAAATCTCCATGTGAGAATGGAACCCTGTGGAGAGGAAATTCACAAGATTACATTAGAGTTACATTAGAGATGGGGGGGGGGGTCATTTGGCTTTCTTGTTAGCCTGTGATACCCCATACCTGTCTAAGTAAGAAAGCTTTATTGATCTCACATTGGAGAAATTTACCTCTGTATTTAACCCATCCCATTGGGGAGCAGTGGGCTGCCTTTGTGCGGCGCCCGGGGAGCAGTGTGGAGTTAAAGGTCTTTGCTCAGAACCCAGAGTGGCAGTCTGTGGGAATGGGTTTCGAACTCACAACCTCAGGATTACAAGCTCTATGCTTTAACCACTAAGCCACCAGTCCCAAAATAAAAAAAATTAAGTGATAGATTTAAAAAGAGGCAATTATAAATTACTTTGAATGATGTTGTTGGCTAGTAAGAAAGCAATAACCAGGAGATGGCGAAGTGATCTGCTACCAAAACTGAATGAATGGATTGATGTAATTATAACCATTTATAATCTGGAAAAGATGACTGCATATATTAGACTGGAAATCGACAAATTCAACAATATGGCTGAAGTATATAAAGCAACATGGAAGGGATTTTGTTTAGGGGCTTGTAGTAAAACTGGATAGTTAATGGAGACGCTAGAATGAGGAAAGGACATTTATAATTATTATTATCCCTCACCCCACTTCAAAGCTACATTATTAGCTCAATTATTTTATTTTCGGTTTGTTTTGTTTACTTTTTACGTTCAAAACCTGTGTTATTATAGGGGCACTCAAGGAAAACCTGTTGTGACAATCTTAAAGTATTGGCTTTGCATTATCTTGCAAACTTGTAAAATTTCATTTGTGAAAGACAATAAAATATAAATCATAAAAAAAAAAGAAAATAACTTTTGTTCAGATTTTTAGTAATGTTAATAAAAAGTTAAAGCAATTAAAAGGAATATGACCAAGACAGATGTCTGGTTAACTGACTCATTTAAAGGATGAACATTTTCATCCTTCTATAAGAATCAGATCAACAGGAACCAGAATTATTCAAATCCAAACGGTGTCCGACACCAGTACGGATGATGCAGCCTGCAGAGGCTCATTTACACCTATCTGCATATGGAAACGTTGGCCACTCCTCACAGAACCAGAGCAGTCTGGTGTCTGCGGCTCTAAAGGCTCTGCTGTATCAGGAGGTGGTCGAGTTCTGCCGAGTTTGAGCTTCAGCTGATTTCGTTTTATAATCAATCATCTCAGATCCTAGAATCCTAATTTTAGGGTCTCTGCACTTCTTTCTCACCTGCGGTCTGATATTGACAGTTGTTGACCTTCTCTCTGATGGTGCTCAGAGCTATGGGCTGTGTGATGATGTCATAGTAATCAGGAACCTGCACAAAAACAAGGAGGATCTTTAGAGGAAAGCAGCAGCTCTAAGTGGGCTGAGCTCAGGGTGCTCTGCAGGTAACGGCCCTGAGAAGCAACCAGGTGCTCGATGCAGGGATTACACCCAGCTTGGAAGCAAAGCTTAACTAGATCAGCTGTTGGGATTAAAAGTTTGTGTACCTGAGTCTTGGACACCAGCTTCATGAAGGGCCAGCTGTCCTCATGTCTGACCAGCTCAACCGTCAGCTGCTCACAGGCAGACAGCTCATGGACTCCCTGATTCCTCCCTGAGGAGCGCCGACTGGAGGAGGATGAGGAGGCTGCTGGGAGGACTGTTTTTGATGGTTTGGAAGGCGCAGCTTCTGTAGGAGGAAAGGAGGAAATCAGGCGGTAGATCTGAATAGAAGCTGTTCAAACATCTCATCCTGGGAACCAGATCAGTTTGGTTAGTGACCTGGAGGAGAAACATATCTCCATTTCAACCTCTGGGAGAGAAGATATGTTTGAAAGAAGCGCTGGGTGTCAGACAGCAGCAAGTTTAATGGCTCCTATTTCTACCGAGGTTTTAACCCTGGTTTATATTCACACATTGAGCTGTGCGCCGCGGGGCTAACTGTGACCTCACACTGGCCTGGGGTCCCAATGTGACCCGAACGAAATACAGACGTCTCACCCGGTAACAAATCCCTTTGAGAAGAGCTGGACGAGAGGAAGTGAAAGTAAAATGATCAGAGGAAAGCTGGAGAAACACAAATCTGTTAAAAGTTAGAATACTTTACGTGGTTCTCGCTAGCGCGCTTCAGCGCAGCGGGACAATGCGTTAAAAGCAGTCACCACTGCCCTGAAATAAAACTCTGTTCATATTTGCCACTAACAGGGCCAGCGGGTCGGCATACTGCGAACTTTGGGCACCGACCGCACGCTTCAGAATCGTTCCAAACGGGAGCACATAACAGGGTTCCTACAGCATAAGGCAAGTTAAATTCAAGACTTTTAAATAATTTTTAATGCCACTTGAAATAAAGATTTAAGACCAAATTCATAAGAAAAACCTGCTTGAGACAACTTAACCCAAAGGTTTATTTTAACATAAACCACTGCACTAATGTTTTTAATTTTGAAAAAACTTCCAATACAGGAAGAAAGCTAAAAACACACAGATGACAGATATATTTTAACAATTATTTAACTGAATTCACAAACTTTGTTTTAGCAGGGAACAAAACAAATCAGTTTTAAAGCCCCAACATAACCAGTACTAAGTCTTTTTTGCAGCTATTTTTCTTCGTATCGTTTTCTTAGTATGTTTGATTTGGTGATAAGTGGAGGCGTTGCAGAGACAAGGGTGGAACTAAACTGAGAAATACCGGCTGTTTCTCTGTAACTGGATTTTGACGCTTTGTGTTTCGTGCTTCGCATGCGACTCCCCTGCCTTAATTCCCATCGTTCTGAGCTTGAATCGCTTCTTGCACAAAATACACTGAGCCTCATGTATGTTCCCTGGTTTTAGCCATGGAGGAAACTCTTGGCTGGAGACAAGAGCAATTGTAAGCTTGTAGTGAAAGCTGGATAGTTAATGGAGACGCTAGAATGAGGAAAGGACATTTATAATCATTATTATCCCTCACCCCACTTCAAAGCTACATTATTACCTCAATTATTTTATTTTCGGTTTGTTTTGTTTACTTTTTACGTTCAAAACCTGTGTTATTATAGGGGCACTCAAGGAAAACCTGTTGTGACAATCTTAAAGTATTGGCTTTGCATTATCTTGCAAACTTGTAAAATTTCATTTGTGAAAGACAATAAAATATAAATCATTAAAAAAAAGAAAATAACTTTTGTTCAGATTTTTAGTAATGTTAATAAAAAGTTAAAGCAATTTTTTTACACTTGCTCATATTTTCCAGACAAAAAGTTAATGGTGCATCTCCCAAATGTCCTGGCCGCAACAACGCTTTTATTGGTTCCGCTATCGGGACGGAACCAATAATGGTGAGATTACAAAAATAAATCATAATAAAAATTATTCTATTTATGATGTTTTAAAAATTAAGACCTACGAAAGACTGATTTCAGACATTTTAATACCAATTAAGGCCTTAGTTTTATTTTGAAGAATTCAATGCCTTTTAAGACTTTTTAAGGACCCGCGGGAACTCTGAAATAAGGTTGATCCCTACAGACAGGTTTGCCTGTGAAAGGATTCCATTGTAACATTGTGGTTAAATGCAGCGTTATTACGGTTTATTCAGCAAACAGGGGAGTTTACTGGCCAAGCCTGTGGTAAAAACAAGGATTAAGGTTCCGTTTCCATCACATATAAATTAAAAAAAGGCTGAAACAACTACCCATAGTATACAATAAATTAGCTTTTTTTGGTAACACAATCATTTTATATACATTATTTTTTTTAAAGGGCTCCTATGGGCTTCACAGGGGGGCTCTCGCCCGTAGAAAGCTGGCGATAGACACCAGCACCCCTCACCACCCCAGCAGGGATAAAGGTGATGGAAAATGGACGGATGGATAAAGCACTGTCTTCCCTAAAATAAGGAATGTCGAGCCTGATGTCAAGTTATATTTTGGCAAATGAGGAAATATTAAGTTATTAAAATTATCAGAATTATTATTATCTATGTTATTATTATGAGGACTTTGAAACGATTGTGCAAACGACGGTCTGTATTGAATACAACAGAGTTTGTATGATGAATTTATTCTCATAATATTCTTGTAATATTCTGACTTTATTCTGATATTGTTGCAGCTTTATAATGTTACAACATTATTCTAATGTTATTACTTTATTCTAGTATAAAAACACCCCTTTAGCTTGGCCCTAATACTCCGTTGTAGGAGCTGGTTTCTCCATCATCATCATCTCTCTGTGCAGAAGATAAATGTTTTATTCCATCGTACCGTATTTTCACGACCATAAGGCGCACCGTACTAAAAGGCGCACTCTCAGTTATGTGTCCCATTTCTGTATTTAACACACACATAAGGCGCACCGGACTATAGGGCGCGTTTTTTATATACAGGTACATGTCCTCTACTACCTTTAAATACCTCTACTGCGTATTTAAAAATACAGCGGGGGCAAAACTGAGTATGACTGTACTTTATTCATGTATTTATTACAAAGTATTAATCAAACCTGGGAGCTGGCCGTGAGACAGACACATCGCAGATGACACAGAGCTGTGATCACTCCTAAATTAACTTAAAATCCTGAAACCTGCCGGCGGAATATGTTCGCTTTTATTACCGGTATCCTGGTGCCTGCACTGTAAATTATTTAGATGAAAAACACCTGCCAGCCACCACAGTGAACCCGGAGGCTGCCCGGCCTAGAGGCTGCTGATGAAGGGATTTACTGTCGGTGCACCGCTGGTATGTGGGGGTCTGAGCGCCTCCGACAGAAATAGATAATCTGGATGAACTGACTGCAATTAAGTTTTCAGGTGGCCTTTCTCACTTAAAAACATATTAAAACTACTTTATTCCCACTGATCACAGCAAATATAGCTGCAAGATTTAGATTATTTAGATGAAAAAACACCTGCCAGCTGCCGCGCTGAAGAGGAGGAGACCCGCCCAGAGGCTGCTGTTGAATTAAGTTTTCAGGTAGAAAAATAGAGCGGGAGCAAAACTGAGTATGATTGTGCTTTATTAATGTATTTATTACAAAGTATTAATCAAACCCATCAAAGTCATCATCCTCTGTTTCTGAATTAAACAGCTGCGCTAAATCAGACATGCCAGTTTCCCATTCTTCGCTGTCAGTCACTTTCCGTGCAGCGCGGCTCCTCAGAAATAATGCCGGCTTTTGCGAAAGCTTGAACAACAGAGCCAGCAGACACGTTAGTCCAAGCATCTACAATCCATCCGCAAACGGTGGCGTAACTTGCCCGGCGCTGCCTTCCACTTATCCTGGAACTGTGGTCTCCGTCTGTCATCCATCACTCCCACGCCGCTCGCAGCCTTACTTTGAACGGCCGCTTTCACACCGATGTCGAGCGGTTGAAGTTCCTTTGTCAGACCCCCCGGTATAACGGCGAGCACAGCGTTCATTTGATTCACCTTTTTTTTCACATCGGCTGTGAGATGGGCACGCAGCGATGGTGATGCGTGGAAAAAAAGCACCTGTTCTCCTCACATACACCTGCCTCAGCCACGCTTTCATCATCTCCTCATCCATCCAGCCTTTTTCATTTGCGTTAATATCATATGTCATCAGAGCGATGTGTCTGTCTCGCTGTCAGCTCTCAGATCAGCTTCTCTGATTGGTTGATGCGGCGCGTCCAGCCGCAAAACTTGAAATTTTCCATCTCGAGCAGCAGCAGCGCGTTGGCGGTGCGTCAGATGCTTAAACGCTCCCGACGTGCTGCGCCTGCTGCTCAAAACGCGCTGCGGGACCTTTTGCTGCGCCTATACGCGCGTCAACCATTGACTTTGCATGTAAACTCCCTGCTTCTGATGCACCTGCTGGGTCCGGTTCACACCGATGTTGAGCGGTTGAACAGCGAGCACAGCCTTAATTTGTTTCCCCATGTTTTTCACATCAGCTGTGAGATGGGCACGCATGGAGTTACATATTAACAGCGATGGTGATGAGTGGAAAAAAAACACCTGGTCTCCTTACATTCAGCCACTCTTTCATCATCTCCTCAATGAGGTGGTCTCAAAAGTCGCAGTTACAACACACATAAGGCGCACCGCACCATAGGGCGCACCGCACATTTTGAGGGGAAAAAAAGACGTTTATGTGCGCCTTATAGTCGTGAAAATACGGTATATTTCTGTGTAACACACCTGTTATTCTTCAATAATCATCAATTCTTAAATAAACAATACTGCGCTCGGCCATTTTGGAGGTGGGACATTAACGGTCTTCTTTTTTCTGCATTTCCACTGGTTATGTTGATCACTGTCCCTCTGTGGTTTTTGCGAGTACAGTGCTTCTATGGGTTGGCAGATGAACACATGGCCTGCAGATGAACACATGCTCTCCTTTGGGGGCAGAGTGTTCAGGTGTGGAAGGATTCCCAAACAGCTGGGAACGGCTTAGGTGCCTTGTTAGGCCACGCCCCCTACTCTCCTTGGATTCATCAGCCTACCTGCTGAGGGCCTCTTGCTGACGTCTCTCTGACCCGGTGAGGTTCTGATGCTGCTCTTTGGAGGGAGGGTCTCATTACTGAGGCGGGCACCGGCACGCTGTCCTGAGCGGGACGCCGCTCTGTCGTTAGAAGCAGAGGCCTTCTTCCCTGAGCTTCTGTATTCAGAAACAAAAGATGAATGGATGAAGAGCAGAAAACTAGAATCAGCTTTTTTAAACAAAAAAAAAACAAACAAAAAACACACCTGGAGGCAGCAGAGGTTTTTCCTGATGAAGCAGCTCCGTTTCTGGGCGGAGCTTGTTGACCTCTGGGCGTGGCCTGAAGGGTTTTGCCTCTAGGGGGGGCAGCCTGGCTCTTCTTGGTGCTGCAGAAATAAAACAGGTTTTACTTCTGGTTGAACCGCCTAAACGTAAACAGAACCGTTCTGCATGTACCTCACAGCTTCCTCCTCTTCCTCCTCCTCTTCTTGCTCCTCCTCATCTTCCTCCTCAGATTCCTCTTCTGATTCCTCCTCTTCATCCTCCTCCTCTTCGTCCTCCTCCTCTTTCTCGTCTACAGAGGAGCGCTGTCGGGAGGGAACGCGGCTGGATCTCTGTTTGGGTCGACAGTCGGGACAGAACCAGGATCCCTCTGGAACACACTGGAGGAGGTGGAGTTTCATGAATACCTGGTGCCGTCAGAGGATGGCGCCGCGGCCCTGTGAAGGTGCCTTACCTTAAGACGGGGCCTCAGACAGTGGGTGTGGTGTCCTCGATCGCAGCCGTCGCACAGCAGCATGCTGTCTGCGTCTCCTTTGCGTCTGCAGAGGCGGCAGCGGGCGTTGAGGACCGAACGGGACCAGCGAATGCTCCTTTCGAGACTGGACAGGTGGATGAACACCTGGGAAGAAGAACTCCATCAGTCTGGATGCTGAGATGCTCTCAGAGAAGAGCTTAAAGGAGGTAAAGAGCTGAACCTGGGAGAAGCTGGAGCAGGATTGCAGAGACTCCCTCCATCGCTCCAGAACAGTCTTAATGACACGCCCACCGTCACTGCTTCCGTCTGACAGAAAGAGGAAGGAGATGCAGCAGAGAGTCAGACTGACTGCTGTGAGGCAAAAAGAGGTTTAACCCACAGAAACAGAAAGAGATCCTTCATTTTGGGACTCCTCGCGTCTCCTTTCTTCTAGCAGCAAAAGATAGATCTAAAAAGAGCCTCCGTTTCTAAAGAATGCATCATTTATAGATCCACATCGAGTCAAACTCACTCTTAATACCCGCAAAACAAAAATCATGTGGTTTTAGCGCAAGAGGACTACGCCTCCTCCTGCCCTTAACATCTCTACCTGCAAGGTTTTTTTTTAATAAACCCTGATAGGAACACGGAGATCATGCAGGACCAAGGCTGCCACAGGAACCAAAGCGGCTCCAATGTCCGTGGTTGTTTCTGTTTTAGCTGAAGATGGCCGCCATCAGAGGCCCTGGGCTTCCTCCAGACCTCAGTGGTGTTTGTGCTGTAATGATGTCAGAAGTCCCACAATTGTTTCCAATGACATTTTTCACTAGTCTGCAGTAATATACTTCTTTCATGACTTCAGAGGCATAAAAATTAAAAGACAAATCATTTTATTCCATATATTTATCATTTTGCTCTCCAATCTCATTGTCTAGTTTGATTCAGAGAACATATGTTGGCAGTTAGATAACAGAGCCAAGTTCATTTCAGTCTCATTTTGATTCCGCCTTTTTTTCCACCAATCGATGTGTTTGAATATTAATATCACTGCTGCACTTTAAAAAGCTAAATGTCTTGAGAAATGTACTGAACGAAATTTCTTTTTGTATACACTCTGTGTGTACAAAATGACAATAAAGTCTAAGTCTAGCGCCACTTGTACAAAATACTGTCCCTCAAAAAAAAACTTTCCTAAATTACAGGAAATAAAAGTTTAAAACTAGTATAAAATATGAGTTATCCCTTGTCCATGAGGTGAAGCAGCAGCATATGTAATTGAGGTCATACCATCGGATGCTTGGTCATCTTCCTTCTTCTTGCTCTTCCTCATTTTCAGGTCTTTTTTTGAGTCTTCATCACCTGCACAGTTATAAACACACGGTGTTCGTTAGCTAGACACGCTGAGCATTTTTGATACGATATTAGCATGAATCATGCCATACCTTTCATTACTTATTTCATACTGCAGAATGTTAGGAAAGGCGTGACTGAGTAAAATCACACAAGGTGAGGAAATCTCATATTCAGAATTCATTCTTCTAAAAGTACTTAAAATATTAAATAATTACATCCTGTTCAATAGATAAATATTTTTAAGTCAGAGTAATTTGAATGTGCTTTACTGGAGGCATCCATGTTTTTCAAAGAACACTACTGCCACCCACCGGTTTGTGATGTCATGGTGCGGTATCGGCTGTTGATCAAGTCCCAGTGCTGTATCTGGTGTTTGTCACAACGCACTATTATCCAAGTCAGAATGGCTGCGGGACCTTTTGCTGCACCTATACGCGCGTCAACCATTGACTTTGCATGTAAACTCGCTGCTTCTGCTGCACCTGCTGGGTCTGGTTCACACCGATGTCGAGCGGTTGAACAGCGAGCACAGCGTTAATTTGTTTCCCCATGTTTTTCACATCAGCTGTGAGATGGGCACGCATGGAGTTACATATTAACAGCGATGGTGATGAGTGGAAAAAAACCACCTGGTCTCCTTACATTCAGCCACTCTTTCATCATCTCCTCAATGAGGTGGTCTCAAAAGTCGCAGTTACAACACACATAGGGCACACCGCACCAAAGGGGGCACCGCACATTTTGAGGGAAAAAAAGACGTTTATGTGCGCCTTATAGTCGTGAAAATACGGTATATTTCTGTGTAACTCACCTGTTATTCTTCAATAATCATCAATTCTTAAATAAACAATACTGCGCTCGGCCATTTTGGAGGTGGGACATTAACGGTCTTCTTTTTTCTGCATTTCCACTGGTTATGTTGATCACTGTCCCTCTGTGGTTTTTGCGAGTACAGTGCCTCTATGGGTTCGTGCATGGCGCACACAGCCCGGCGCCACCATCCAAGTATAACTCAGCTAAAGACTTCCAGGATTCTATCCGCCACACTTCAGTGCAGCGGCTCATAGCCGAACGTTGTCAGGAACTGCTTCTCACTCTGTTTGCGCCTAACGGGTGAAAGGAGTGTGTCTGAGGACCCCAGTCAGAGCTATAGAAACAGACTCTTCCTGCTGAACACTACTGCCACCCACCATCTTGAAAACATTGTTCCTCCAAATGTTGGCTACATATTACGTGTTTTTTCTCTGGCCAGAAGTTCGATGGCAAATCCTCCCTCTTCAGGTTGGCAATGCAACGATGAACCCGTCCGTGGAGGATCAGGAATCAGAAAGGTGGAATAACTCTCATTTTTCCACTTTTACCCGATGTATTCCAACATCCAGCTGCCATGCACGTGGGCATTGTCAGTTTCCCTATAGCTCTGGTGAATTTCAAAGGTGAAGTCCTCTGGAAATCTTCAATAATTGTTGTTGATTGCAGATGTGTCTAGTAGTTCCCATTGATTTTGCTTGTAAAGCGGGGAGAATGGCGCTAGGCTTACCGCACCGTGACGTCACTGCCGGAAGATGGCAGGAGGGAGGGGTTACTATATTCAGACAAAAATGGCCGCTCCCAGACTCTGGTCGTAACGAAATTTTTTTATTTTTTTTTTTACTGATTAACGCAAAATTCATGAAATCACTGCGAACGTATTAAGTTTTAGGGATAAATAATGATCCATTCATTATTCCTGCTGACCGGACTTTTCCTTTGACTCAACCAGAAAGTAGAAAACCTATTTGGAACTTTGTCAATTCAAATTTTCACAGATCAGACCAGCAGTCTCAGACTCACCCAGAGGAGGCTTAAGGAAGCGTCTCTCAATGCCTTGCTCAACGTGACTGAGGGCCTGAGCCAGAACTCGCACCACGCTGCTGATGGCCTGAGGAGTGGTGCTGCCGCTGGTCCCACAGGTGGCCGAGGCTTCGCAGCGGAGCTCCTGCAGCCTGAAGCATCAACACCCTCAATCAACTGCTTTAATCCAAGAACACAAACATTCAGCAGGTCGGCTTGGATTTGCCCACTACCTGTCATTGCACCTCTCTCTGGTTCTGAGGTGAGCCGAGTCCACTTCCCACGGCTCCGCCTGACCATTCATCATGCCGTTTTCTTTGGCATCAGATCCCAGAAGTTCGTAGTTTCCTTCCTCCAGCTCAGTGCGCCAAACCTTTCTGTCCATCACCTTAAAGACGGGAAAATGAGACGGCTGAGTGTGGCGTCCATCAGGAGCTCCACAGCATTCATCACTGGGACCTGCTGAACCTACTTTCAAAGTCCCCAGGGATCCCTGATGGATGCGGTCCTCCAGGTCCAGCAGCAGGTCTCTTAATCTCACTTCCATCAGGGTATCTGCTGATGCAGAAGAAGCTGGCAGCTCTTCTTCACCTGGAACACAGAGAAACAGCAGAGCTGTGTGAGAGAACGGTTCTGATCTCACGGAGGAAAGAAGGTTTGCCTCATGTGGTACCGGTCTGTGTGGGCTGCAGCCTGTATCTGCTGCGGTCGCAGTTCTGCAGCAACTGCTGCAGCTTGTCTCTGTCCTGCAGCAGCGCCTCCCTCAGGGAGCCCTCTCTGTGACCTCGAGGGTTCAGAGCTTCGATCAGTTGATCCACCTCCTCTATTGAGCCGTAGAAGGACCACTGGTTGGGCCGGTTCACCGGAGCACTGGGGAGGTCAGGGTCCGAACAACCGCTGTCAGGTTATAAGAGCAAAACAAGCTGAGTCATTGTCGGAAAGCTCTGAAGCCTTCAGTGATCTCAGTTGAAGACTGACTTGGTACTTGATGGCTCCTCCTCCATGTTTTGATCCACCTCATCAGCTGCAGCGTCTTCAGGTTTGGGGCGCGGCTTCAGCATGTCCTCTGTCAGTCCGAAGAAGTCCTCTTCCACAAACAGAGCTGAGGCAGAGGGGATGATCCAGTATCTTCGGAACAGCCGGTCTTTACCCAGAGGAAGCAGGCAGGTGCAGGCCGCCGCCTTCTGAATCCGATCCAGCAGCTGTCGAACCTGCAGGGAAGGACCAGGGCTCGTTAGCGGATTACCGTCATCGAGTGCCTCAATCACAGCACTGAGACATTAGATCGGATCTGCAAACCTTCTCTTGCTCCTGGTCCAGCTCCTCTGTGCTCAGGTTGAAAACGAGGCCGGAGGACTTGGAGTCAGAATGTGTTTGCTGATGTTCTTCATTTTGGCTTCCTTTGGCTGGAGAACACAAGACACACAAAAACGAACATTACAGACTAAAAGGCTGCCTCCAAGCTTTATATACGACCAGAATAACTCTGCAGAATCTGTTAGTTAAATCTCTAACGTTCTGCTCTCTCTGCTTTTCCTTATAGTAGCTTCAACTGGTCTGTTCCTGTTTGGCTGTGACTCCATCCTGGAGAGAAATATCAGCTGTGCTGCTGCCATCAACACCTTTGTTTATAGATGTTGGAGCTTGGCCTGTTTTTCAGTGTAGTCCTGTTTCTCTGACTGTGACTAACTGGATGTGCTCTCTTCATCCTCTGACATGGGAGCTGGCTCGGAGCTCGTCTGCCTGGCTGTGTGTTTCCTGGAAAGGGCCGCCTGTGGAGCTGGTTGACAGTTGCTTTTTTTATCTATGCTTCTTTTTCTATGTCTGCTTCTGTCTCCTTGAAACCAAGTCGGCCTCAGTAGATGGCCGCTCACACTGAGCCTGGTTCTGCTGGAGGTTTCTTCCTGTTCAAAGGGAGTTTTTCCTCTCCACTGTCACTACAAGCATGCTTAGTGTGAGGGATTGCTGAAGAGTCAATGAGTCGATGCAATCAGCTGGTTTTCCTTGGATAGAAAACTTTAAATTAATCTGACTGGATGATCTGGTGAACTGTAAAGTGCCTTGAGATCACATGATTTGAATTGGCTCTAAAGAAATAAACTGAATTGAATAAACAAGTGGTCGGTTTAATGACGTGTCAAAAGAAACTTCTCTAAAACAGGAGAATCTGTATTAAACCGAGCTGGGATCAGACTTTACCTGTTTTCATGCTGCTGGATAAAGCGTTTTCCTTCCCATTCTTTCCAGAAAGTTCTCCCTGCGCCTCAGCAGCTGTTTCCCTGAAGACAGAGCAGAGAAACGTATTGAACAACTGGAATCCACCGTTCACAGCTTTACTGCTGCAGCTCTTTCCTCTGAAGCCATGATAGCCACAACATGTTGCCAAACGCATACAGGCGCTTTTCCCAATTCCATGAATCAGGGTTTAACCTGATCAGCAAAGGGAAAAAAGTGGAATGATACATTCTGCAAAAAATTCCACTTTCAAGAAGTCCCAACAAAACCAAACAGAACAAATGCCGTTATGCAACCGTTAATAGAAAAATAAGACATGAAGCAGCAGCATGACGATAAGGCGTGAAACTAATGGCGCCGCAGGATTCCTGTTCATCTGAAAACAGGCTCCTGTTTGTTTACCTGCGCCACATCCTAACCAGGGGTCCGAAATTAACACTCGCCACTAACCAGAGGAGACTACATTTTTCATTTGATAAATAATCCCAGAGCACCGTTTAACACAAGGTGAGGAAATGTTTGGACCACAGTCACATCCTTTCAGCTTTTATTTTGGCGAGTCTCCCCCTTCTGTTCCTCGAATGCTGACAGAAAGACGTGCGTACACTGTGTGCAGAAGTATTAGGCAAATGAGTATTTCGACCACATTACCCTTTTTATACATGTTGTCCTACTCAAAGCTGTATATGAGAACAATTGTGGCCCAATAATAAAAATAATCCTCAAAAATACAACTTGCCTGATAATTCTGAACACAGTGTATTAGCGCTGAAACAAATAATCAGATTAATCGTGATAAATCGATTATTTAAATAATCGTCAACTAATTTAGTAATGGATTAATTGTTAACTGGAGTATAGAGACTCTAAGACGTGTTTTTAGCTGATAGAGCAACCCATTCACAACAGCAATAATATCAAAATTGTAAAAAAATATATAAACATTTTACATAAAAAAAAAAAAAAGTTTTCTCCTGTCAATATAGTCCATCCAGAACTCTTGAAGTAGAAAAGTTTTAGTTCCACCTGGTTTAATTTAGTAAAAAATCTTTTTTAAGGGACCTTTCGGTATCCCATTATTAATCGATTAATCGGAAAAAAAAATCAACACATTAATCGATTTGCAAAATAATCGTTAGTTGCAGCCCTACAGTGTATAGCTGGAGCAACCAAGGCTTCTAACAGACAATAAGCGGATGAGAAGGAGGGGGAGCAAAGATCTAAAGTCCCCAGGAAGAAGAGAAAGTTTAGTGGAAAATGGTGCTTTTGGGAAGATTGTGTTTCACAAGAGATTGTCTTATTGATGACAATGCTAAGCTAATGAGCTGCTCATTGTGCAGCAAATGCATAGAAGAGAACAGAGAGGATGAATCTGTCGCTGGCTGTCAGTAGTGTTGGGAATTGATACGATTTTCACGTTCAGATTCCCTTATCAATTCTTTGAAACGATTCAATTCCTTATCGATTCAGTTATTGACATTCATCGTCATTGTTTCCCTTTGTTCGGGTTTAAAACATGGTGCATGTAAATGTATCCATGATGATGCAGACAGTTTATTGACATAATTCATTGATACGTAATTGATATATGTATATATAGTTATTTACATTTCATATTAATTATTGTAAATATGATTGTATCTTTATATTGTTTTATTGAGTGAAACATGGTTTGATTTATTTATGATTATTCTCATGATTATATCTACAAGCTTGTTCTTGCGCTGTTTTGAGAAGACGTTATTTCACCAACGTCCGTCTTGGGTTACCATGGAAACAAACACCAACGTCCGTCTTTCATGGAAATCAACGGAGGTTTTTCACATTACTCACAAACATTATAAGCTGAAGTTTGTTGAGTAAAAACCAAGGACAGCATCAAGGACAATCACCTTTTAATTCACGGATAATTCCCTCATTGTGGCATGCAGCCAACGAGGTATTTTATTATTTGTATATAACGTTACATTGTTTCATTCTGTTGTAAGCCAGCTACAATGTACACTGTGTGGTTTAATGGTAGCTAATTAGTTAATTGTGTCAACTGTATTGTTCTGTACAGTTTTCACGGTGCTAATGAAGATTTGGAGGCTTCATTAAATCAGTTCAAGAACTCCATTTGTGCTCGTCGTGCTTGGGGGGATTTACAGTGCAGATTTAACTAATGCCAGGCAATCACTTTAGGGATGTGCATCAGATATTTATCACAGTGGTAATATTTATAGACATGAAATAATTGGAGTAGCCTAATAAAAGTAAACTTAGCACACTGAATTATTGTTCGTAATAAACAAGGACACTTCTTTGATTTATCACCATGACAATCATCTGGAGTAAAAAAACAAAAATAGTTCCCCATATGATAGATGTTTGGCTCCGCAAGGCTCTGCATGGTGCTGCCTTAGTAAAGAAGAAAAAGGAGGAAATAAGTTTAGGATTCCTGGATCAGTTCCTGCAGGGATATCCTGACTGATCTGATCAGATCAGATGAACAGGGCGTCTCCATCAGCTGTGGGTCCAACCCCACAAACTGGTGACAGTTGTTATCAGAGTTCTCTTCTGATATCTGAGCAGTGACTTCTTTTTGAGTTGAATAATTTAACATTTTACTGAACAAGCTTTTATTGCCAATGGGACAGGATACAGATGCGGATTACTAGCAGGTCAACCCATGTTGCTAATTTCAGTGGGAAAGAGGCTTTACAGTGCATCATTTAAATAAGTAATGTAAACAAAAAGTGAGACCAAAGGAAAGGGCTACCGTGTCCTACAATGCATTAGAGAATCAGCTGCCCTTATTTAGCCCCACATACTGCAGCTATCAAGCAATGATTGATGGTGCATGTTTCTGCTCCTTACCCATTAGCCAGGACTCTTTCCTTCACCTCCTGCTCCTTCAGTTTCTCCTCCTTCTCCCTCATTCTCAGTTCTTGATCCCTCAGCTTCTCCTCTTTCCGAAGACGAGCCCTGGAAATAAAATATAAATAATAGCAGGTGATTCAGCGGCGATTCTAAACCCGGGTCCTCTCATGAATCCTGGATCGCAGAAACACGGCAGCTTCCCAGACTTCCCAGAAACAGCCTGGAGCAGCAGACCTTACATCTGCTGCCAGGAGGTTTTCCTCCTCCTCCTGAACAGCGGTTTGAGCACCTTTGCTCCAAACGTCTGATGGGGATCCTGCAGCAGGTTTCTTCCACCTAATGCTACGTTCACACTGCGATTTCAGCAGCAAAAAACCTGCTGCTTCATTTCTGCTGCACGTCCACATTAAGGTCAAACGTCCAGTAAAGTTTGTCCAGATGCGTCTGCTGCTCCTGTGTTCAATGGCAGAGAGCAGCTTTGCTATATTTGCTGTGATCAGTGGGTAAAAAGTAGTTTGAATCTATTTTGAAGTGAGAAAGTCCATCTGAAAACATGGTCTGTTCAGTCAGTACATCCAGGTTACCATCCTGCTTTCAAAGATTATTTCTCTGTGGGAGCCGCTCAGATCCCCACATACCGGCGGTGCGCTGTCAGTCCCATTCAATCCCATTCAACAGCAGCCTCTGGCCGGGTGTAGGTACCAGATCTGCTGGTGTCCTGCTTCCTGCCAGTGTCGTTACGCTACAGATTGGCTAAAAGTTGCCACATGATGTAAAACATTGTGGTTGCCCAGACAACGATAATAACATAAAGCGGTGTCAGTGTGTCGAGTCGGGAGCATCTGTAGCATTAGCGTGTCTAATAACCAATGAAGTTTTACCTGATTGATAACAAAATTTAAAAAATTCTGTTACTGGTGAACTAAGTAACTGTTAGACCATGATATAAAGGGGAGAGCTGGGTAGCGCTGTGGCTAGCTGCAGCTAACAGGTTAGCCTCTTTTAGCTCGGGCAGTTAGCCATATTAAGCTACACTACTTTTAAATTCAGTCAACAACAAACATCCATTTTCTAGAAGTAAAATAACAGTTTTGTCTAAATGAATGAAAGTCATTTTTTAAGATGTACCATTTGTCCTCCTCTGACCTCAGAAATAAAAAGAATAAAAATAAGCTGAGACTCACTCTTAGAAGGCATTGATTTCCTTCAAAACTGACGATGATTGTTTTCTACTTTAGATCGCTGATGAAATGTAAAATAATAGCAATTAGCACCCTCACCAGTCGCCTCTTGGGGGTTTTTCCCTAACATTCCTGGTGGCTGGAAGTAGATATTAGCATTTTTAACATACATAATAAAGGATAATAAAAGCAAACATATTCTGCTGGCAGGTTTCTACATTCTAAGTAAATTTAGGCGTTAATAAACTGTTTCAGAGAAGTGATCATAGCGCTCTGCATCAGCAGTGCTGTGTCTGTCTCCCTGCTAGTTCCCAGATCAGCTTCTCTCATTGGTTGATGTGGCGCAGCCAGCAGCTCGAGTTCCATCTTTCCAACTCCAGCAGCTACTGGTCTGGCATCGCGTCCTGAGCTTCAGAAGCTCATGAGGCGCTGCTTCTGCTGCTTTAAAACGACCTTATGATGCCCGTCAACCAAAGACTTTACATGTAAACCTGCTACTTCTGCCGCCCAAAGTGCGTCCGTCGTGAACGTAGCAAAAGAGGGAGTGGTTGCTCCATCAACACTAGAGCTGCTCAAAGCTCAGGATGAGCGACACTGAAAAAGCCTTAAAGGCTGTTTAGCAGTTTGTTAGTTTGTTCCTAGTTAGACCAACTAAAATCAATAGGCTAAATCGACTGTATTTCATTAGACGGTGTGTAAAAGGATTCAAATCCCCCTTCATGATTTAATCAAATATTAATAGCTAATGGGATTATACAGGACTGACTTCTCTTCTCTGTAAAAGGATTGTTAAAGATTAGCCGCTTTGGATCAATATTCATGAACTAGGAACCTGGAAGTGCTTCAGTAGAGCAGCTGTGAACAGATGCTGCTCTATGATTAAAATTAGATGCTCTGTGCTTCGTTTACGTGATCTGATTAAACACAACCTGCTTAAAGAAGAAAAACGTCAGACGTATTTAGACAGGTTTCCACGCTGGGTTAGTACCAAGGGAAAGATGGAGGAGGAGTTTTTGAAATCTCTGAATGACGGGTTTATAACTTTGGACCAAATCTCAGTGTTCATGATCACTATGATAGTGCACTAGGGTTAGCAAAGGTCTTTGTGAACAATAAGAGAAATTATGATAGTTAACACCACTTGTATAATTCAGTTCTTCTTGTTTCCTTGAATAGAACTAAATGGCATCGAGTCAGACCATGTTCCAACTGTTGCTGATGCTTCAGGTTTGTGTCTTTAGATGCTTCCCCCAGCACGGGACTCTTACCTCAGCGCTGTCTCCTCCCGCTTCCTGCGGTGCTGCTCAGCTCTGATCTCTCGGAGCTCCTGTTTAGCTGCCTTCTGTTCGTCCACGCAGTCTTCAATCAGATCTCTGCTCGATGCTAAAGTCAGCAGCTTCCCCACCAGAGCCTGAAGAATCTTCAGCTTTTCTCCTGCAAACAAAACGGTCCTTTATTTTAACAATTTTTAAGCGAACTTCACATCTGAACAGGAAGGACTGATCAAGTGATGGCGGTACTTAAAGCCGTAAGACAGAACAGCTAACAGCCATTCAGTACAGACAGGTTTAAACCAGGAGGCTAGAAGAGCGGCTCTCCGTTGCACCATCGCTACCATATAATTTTGGTTCACTGACCTGGTGTGAGGTCATAAACCGAAGTGCAGGACAGCTTCTTCACCAGGACCGGATCGGACAACCGCAGGTTCACACACGGGTCGTCCATGACGGTGAAGCCGCCTTGTTTTTGGTACCGGAACTTAGCATTGTTGTGGTTACAATCGGCGCCAGAGGCCAGAATGTAGAGGCGAAGGATTTCAGACAGCGTGCAGCTGTCCAAATCCAGCTGTTTAAGACCAGAACCCTGATGCAGCTGAGGCCAGGCTGCAGCCAGCGAGGCCACAGCGGTCAGAGCTGACTGAGTGGGATCCGAGTCATCGTCCAGGGCCTCCCACAGGCCTGCAGGAGGGAAACATGGAGGCATTATTCTGGGAAACGGCCTGAAAGCAGTGCAGCTTGCTTCCCCTGTTCCTACCTTCAGCCTGATCTTTAGCCACCTCCTCCTGCTCCTCATCCAGAGCCTGAAAAATGGCCGTCAGGAAGAAGAAAAGAAGCTCACACAGAGGTCCTTCTGGGTCATTGCCGACCAGAGCCTCCTCCAGAACCTCTGTGGAACGACAGAGTGATTATAGACAGAGCTGGGAACAGACGTATTAGATCAGAACCAGACCAGCTGCTGCAGTGAGGTTCAGGTTCATGAAAGGACTCCAGATTCTCTTTTTAATAAAAAAAAAACACACTTAAATTCCTGTGAGGGAACTCAGAATGCAGACAGTACAGCATATAGTAGAGACAGACCTAGTTGGACCCCATGTGCTGTGACACAGAGGCAGCAGAACATCAGATCTGTTTAAATTCCAGAGAGACGCTGCGTCCAGAGGAGTACAACTAACTAAAGCTCCACAACAAACCTGCACTCGAGCTTCTAGGTAGAGCAGTACGACAGAGTATCAGGGCCAGGCTAAAGACTTTTTTATTTTTTATTTTTATTTTAAAGGAGAGAATAAAGTCCTAAAATTATGACAAGGTCGTAATATCACAAGAATACAGTCATAAAGTTACAAGAATAAAGTCATAATATTAAGGGAATAAAGTCTTAAAATTACAAGAATTAAGTCTTAAAATAATGAGAATAAAGTTATATTTTATAACTCTTACAAGAAGCACCGTCTTCCCTAAAATGAGGAATGTGGAGCATCATGTGAAGTTATACGTTGGCATCGGTTTGTCAAATAAGGAAATCCTTTAGCACCAGCATCAAACTGGGCAGGATGTGAAAGTGGACTCAGGTTGCTGATTGGTTGAGCTGGTCGGTCGTCATCTGCTGGGCGGAGCTCCAAGCTTTCTTTGTGAAACGGATTGTGGTATGATGACTTCATTCTTGTAATGTTATATCTGGTTATTTTATTCTTGTAATAAAGTGAACCCTCGCTATAATGCGGTTCACTTTTCACGTTCTCGCTGCTTCACGGATTTGCATCATGCATTGTTAAACTTTATTGTCAAACATAATTAATGGTGGCATGTCGGTTTATAAGGATCTTTTGGCCCAGAAGAAAAAAGAGCGTCAACAACTACCGATAACTATGTTCTTCTCTCCAAAAAACACACCTGCACCGCAGGCTTTAGAAGAAAAAAACGCCACAGAGCAGAATCAGGATGCAGCGGCTCCGTCAAACAGCAGTGAAATACTGTACTGTACACGTCAGTCACTATTTGTCCTACTGTACTTTGTATTTTTTTTCATAATCATTTTTCATTTTCTCCCGTTCCAATCCGTCACGGCAGGGCGGTGCTGATCCCCGCAATATTAACCCTTCATTTCCTATTGATGATTACAATTATTACTCATTTATTTATTTATAACTATATTATTTTACAGTACAGTACAGTAGTTAACAACGTTTATACCGTACTTTTATTTGTTAAACAAATGCTTGGGCCTGTAAAAAGTTTTTGTTCCTTGATTTCAATGTTGTATGGAGTATTTCATTGTATAATAACTGTAAAAAATAAAGGTTTCTACTTCACGGATTTCACCTATCACGGTTCTTTTTGGAATGTAACCCCCGCGATAAACGAGGATTCACTGTATTACGAAAAAGAAAAAAAAAATCTCTAGCCTGGCCCTAATACTCTGTTGTAGAGAAGCATCTGGAAGTTTATCAGAAGAAAAAAAGAATCAAAAACCTGAAGGCATCTGAAGGCTTGGATTCATTAAACAGCAATAATTTCATTATTCAGCCACTCAGAGAGAAACAATCGTCCCCAAATCATAGAATATAAAGATATTTAAGAAGAAATGTTCTCACCCAGAGTGATTCCATCAGGAAACTCGTCTTTCAGGTCAAAAAGTTCACCGAAAGCTCGCAGAAACTCCAGAACCATCAGAGCTTCTCCAAAGAGCTCAGCAGGGAGTCGGGTTTTCACAGGGACCGGGCTGGGTAGCTCCTTAAAGAACAAACAGACATTTAGCAGTGAAAACCATAAAGATGGTGATCTAACATCAAAGTATCCGTTAACTTTTACATTCCTCAGTGGGAATCCAAGAGATTCTGGGTTTTGCCTGTCAGAACCAATAGACAGACAGTTGCACAGCGCTCCCATCACTTCCACAAACCTTGGCGATAAAACCAGTCCTTCCCAGGAGCTTGGTGGACTCCATGTTCTGCCATCAACTATCAGTGGTAGGGCTCAGCGATTAGGCCAAAAATCAAAACAGAGATTCTGCGTTTTCCATTTCCTCGTGTGAAATGTGGTGCAGCTGCACAGAACATAAAGGCTGCAGACGCAGTGACAAGGCAGCTCGTTTTATGTGTGGATTTTTACGCATAATCTGTATTCTTTCTTTCTGGTGGAACAACAACAGCAGTTTTACCAAACGCTGAAAGAAAATCTAACAAATTTGTACTTAGCCTAAGTTAAATGCAACTTAATCAAGAAACAGAGAAATATACTGTAAAAGAAGCAAAAATAATAACCAGCATGAACAAGCCCTGACTCTACTGCAGTAATCCATATTAAACAATAAACCAGGTATTTTCTCCATCCTCTGCATTGATCTCTCTGATCAGCCAGCTAGGATTGGATTATCAGACAGAAGCTGCCAACATCCAGGCTCCTGCTTCCGCATGTTATCTACATATGCCACATAATTGGCCCGCCCCGCCTAGAGCTTCATGCAAAAGGTTTCCATGGTGATACAGCTTTTTCCAAGCCATACATTACCTAGTGCAATGCATAGGCTCAGATCCAGTGGTGTAAAATGCGCCATATGAGGCCTGATTTCTGCCAAGAGAGAGTTTTGAACCTTTTACATGAGCAAATTCAACACCACCAGATCCAATAAGTGTATGCTCCTTTCCTATACAGCCATGGCTAGCTTTCCACACTGTCTGTAGAGGCTTTTTGCACACGTAGGTCAACTCTAGTCCTTCTGATGTTGGAAGAGCATCAGCAGCAGTCTATGGCCTTCCAATAATTCCTGCAGCTGCAAAGGATGGTTCAAGTTCAAAGGGAAGCCTACAGATCAAGGATGGGGCCTCGTTGGTGTTCAGATGGAGTCAGGAAGGGTGAAGTAATAGCATTACAGCAGAGGTCACGGATTAGCGGACCGCAGCCCGGATTCGGACCCACCTTCTGGCTAATCCGGACCCAACCGGATGTAAAACATTTATAAATTACTGCATGTTGTCCGACGACAGTGTCTAACGTCACTTGTGCCGCTTCTCCTGTTAATACGGTAAAGCCCTCCAGAGCACCTGGCACCAGGCTGCATGTGATCCAAACAGTGTTGTGCCTGAACGCGTTCATTGAACGAAAGTTCATGAACTCGTTCATATTTTGGGCGAACGTGAACTGAACGTACTGCATTCTTGCCTGATGAACGTTATTGTGAACTCGTTCATTCTGGCGTCTGTGAACGGCACGCTCTCTCAGTTCAGCTTCGTTCAATAGTTTACCAGATTTCTATAAAGCCCTCCAGGCGAAACCCCGGCTAAATCACACCGTAAACAGGCCTTAATATGTAGCGGGAAAAACACCCAATCTGGCAACACCAGCTACCAGCGTCGTAGCCTACAGCCGCGTGGGTCATCAAAACAAAATGCAGCCTGGAAGCCACAGCAGCATGGAGGCGACTTAAAACAGCTTTATGACCAGGTGGTCGGTGAGGATGATGGAAACAAGTTTGCCCGCCGGCTTTCAGTAAAAAAAATCCGCACTTCAGTAACCTTAAATTCCTACCTCAGCCTGGTCCCTCAGTTTGTGTTAGTAAAATCTTCTTGAGCGGAGGTCTTCAACAGGGGATCCGCGACCCCTAGGGGGTCTACGGAGGTACTGCATGAGGGTCTGCATGGTTAGTTGATATTTTTATATTCCCCCCCTGCATTTTTTTCCCCCCCACTAATTGAAATGTCTTTAAATACTCATTAACATGAAATCAACACACTGTAGTAAACAGATAAATGGAGGCAGAAGATGTCTTTCAGTCATCAATGCTCACATTCAGCGACACACAGGAGCTCTTTCAAGCTGGGCACCGTTTCCTTCACAACACCTGTCCCATCAACCAGGAATCAGAATCAGAAAAACTTTAATAATCCCAGGGAGAAATTAATTTCTTTACATTACTCCATCTGTAATAGAGTGACTATAGGACACAATTTCATACAATATATATAAATAGGGGGTCCCCGCTCCATCTCGCCATCAGTTTGGGGGTCCTTGGTCTGGAAAAGAAGACCCCTGTTCTTGAGGGTTTTACTATCCATGTAACTTGTTTGTTAAACCTGCCTGGTATAATTTTCCAGGATTCCAGGATTCCTTTTTAGTATGTATTGAAATGGAATTTCAAATGGAAAAAATTATTAAAATAAAAAAAAAACATTTGCACCTTAAAGACTACTTTCCTATTTTTCTTTTAATAATTACTCATAAAAAAGACCATTCAAGCAGCACATTTTTCCTGATGTTTTTGAGAATATACTGTAGGGGTGAAAGCTGCAGCTGCTACTAGTGTGAAGTGAATGGACAGCAACAAAGCATTAAAGCAACAATGGGGAAATGCTGTCCCCTCAATGCCAATGTAAACCCTGGTTGGATAAGGATTCAAAACTGGATATGAAGATGAAATCTGACACACAGTTTCAGAGTTACAACTGATAAAATAATTGCTGTCTGTGGTTCTACAGTAGGCTATGGTGTAATTGAGCAATATATGAAGAAAAAAAAAAAAAAAAAAAAGAACTATGAACTAGTTCGTTTTTTGGAATTGTGAACTATGAACTGAACTAGTTCATTTTAAAATGTGTGAACTGAACTTTGAACTAGTTCACGTAGAAAGAGAACTTTCCCAACACTGGATCCAAATTATCCAATGAGCTGCTGTCAGTCTGGGTTGCTGCTGCTGCTACTTTTAGACACAGCAGGCAAACCTGTGACAAGCCGGGCGATGGGAAAGAAGGAGAAGATGATGAGAAAAAGAGAAGAGAAAGTGTGGACTGCTGGAAGAACTGTGGTGAACTGGTGAAAGAAAAGTGAAAAGGTTTGCTCAAAGATGACCCTGCATATTTAGAGGATGTTTGGCTCAACCTGCTGCCGTGAAGCAGGATTCTCCACCATGAACAGAATCAAAAATAAATATGGATCCAGGCTCAAAATGAGCACCTTGATATGTGCTTGAGAATGGCTTAGTCTCCATTCAAACCCAGGTTTAAGGCCTTGCAGGGCAGCCTAAAGCCCACTGCTCTCGTTAAGCCAGCTAAAACTCAAAAATTATTCAATAATATTTTCCATGACGAGCGTAGAAAGCTATAAACAGAAAGGAAGTGTGATGCCAATCAGTGAAGAACTGATTTCCCTTTTTCAACGTCTCCACACCGATAATACTGCGTTCACTGACCTTCAGGTCTTCACACTCCATATCCTCTCTGGGTTGGTTTAACAGCCTCAGGCGTTGAGCATATTTCTTCTTCTCTTCTTTCAGCTTCTCTCGTTCCTGTTGATAATAATCCAAAGTTTTAACATTTTCTCCCGAACTGTCATCCCACCTTTACACAGACGGCTACTCACCCTCTCCTTCTCTAGCTTCCTGAGCTCCCGTTCATTCCTCTTCCTCTGCTTCTCCTCCTCAAATCTTAGTCTCTGTTCCTCCCTCAGCTTGTCCTTGTCCTCTCGCTCCTTCCTTTTGGCCTCCTGCACCTCCTCCCGTTCCCTCTTCAGCCGTGCTTTCTCATGGGTTGCAGCAGCCATCTCCTCTCGTTTCTGCAGCAACTTAAGCTTCTCTTCCAGCACGTTTATTGATGTCGCCTGGAAATCAATCATAGAATCTATGTAAAAACTGGAAAAGCTGCAGTTTAACATTACTGATAAAATGTCCTCCTTCAGTCAGTCTGCGTATGCCCGACGTCCCAGAATCTCCTAAAACACTGGCATAAGCTAAACTTTCTATGTATTATTTCAATATTGGGTGTTTACATAGAGTATTCATAACGAGTCCAGAGCTTCTGTCCAACCACAGCCTAACTTCTGCATAATGGACTGCAGCGTAATGCCCATAAAATGAAGCACCATTTCATGGGCATTAAAGCTGATTTATACTTCAAAACTAGGTCGTCTGTGTAGATGTCGCGGTGAACGCAAAAACGTCCCCGCCCCCTCCGCAGACATTCTGCTACACCTGACTGCCTTGGCCGTATTTAGACCCACAGCTATTTCATGATTGTCCCTTTGGCATTGTGATGTGGAATATAGACCACACTTCAGTACTGAGTATAAATCAAAAATGTCTGCGTCACGCTCACTGCGACACACTGCTGCAAGAGGATAACCAGCCCTTTATGCTGCATCAGTTAAAGCTGCCCCCCTCAGCCACATCGCTGCTCCTGAGGGGGGCAGAAAAAGATGTCTTTGATCATTGTATTAACCTAGCTGCTGTTTCCCTCCAGCAAGAAAAAAATAAATAAAAAATAAAAAGAGTGAAAGAATGTTTTTGGTGGCAGCAGATCCGGCGTCATGTCTGCTAGGAAGTTTGTTGGTGGTGGGCGTGAACTAGGGGTGGAACGGTTCACAAAATCCACGGTTCGGTTCGGTTCACGGTTTCGTGGTCACGGTTTTCGGTTCGATTCTGTGTATGTTGATTGTTACACCGAAATCCCATTAAAATTTATGAAATTAATGAAAAAAAAAAAAAATTAATGAATTGTAATTATTTTTAATGATCCGCGGAAACCTTGGATCATTTCCACGTGTTTTGCTGCTCTGGATTTAATCATCTGGCGCATGCCCTCTATGATCTCCAAGGAACTCGGAGCAGAGCGGAGTGGACAGGAGCAACAGCGGAGGCTGTAGGCTTTGCTTTGTGCAGGCGGTCTGGAGCGCAGCGGGGCGGAGCGCTGACGGAGTATGAGGGATTTCGGGGTCAGCATGACATGTTGGTCGCGTTGCTGTTAGCATAAACAAAACGTGATGCACAATGCTTGCACACTGTTGCACTTTTATCCACAACTTTCTTTCCGCCGTCATCGTAGCTCACTCTAAATGCAAAGTGGTCCCATACAGCAGACCTATAAAGTGCTGCTGGCGCGTCTTCCAACTCCTGTTCTTTCCCACTCGCCATACCCACACAATTCTCCACAACAACTGATTTTTTTCTGCTACACCCGGCTACGCTGCTTCGCTTCTTCTTCTTCTTCTTTACTACTGGTGGTTAGCTTTGGTCGCAGTACTGCCACCTTCTGCTCTGGAGTGTAAACGCTTCACCTGTGAGAAAAAGGAGCAGCGCATGAACTGAACGCAACACACGTGAACTGAAACAGTTGAACCGAACGGTTTGGACGGTTTTCATAAACCGTTCCATCCCTAGCGTGAACACAGGGAGCATAAATCACACTCACCTTCTGGCTCACCCTATGATGGGGATGAAGTCTGGAGGAGAACTGACGGTTTCCTCCTGTGAACCCCCTTTATACCAAAACACTGCCAATACGCCATTAAACAGTAGCTGGAAGTTAGAAACAGGTTCAGTCTGGAACACGTCAGATACGTTGATATGCGTTGGAGAGAAGTTCTGGATAAGTTACGCAGAAGTTATGCACAAGTTACTCAGAGGTTTAGGATAAGCTAGACTTCACGACTGATGAGGAACCGACACTGAACGTCTGTCAGCCATCAGATAACTAACCTGGAACTGATGGCCCATGGATGAGCATATGCTGGCATACGTCAAGGTACTCGCCATTTGTCGACGTGTTTCGGCGTGCTCATGACTTATATAGAACGTACCTATAACTTATCCAATGCATGTCAGCATTTGTGCCAGATTTTTCGTACTTCAGGCAGACACAGGTGTAAATGGTCATGCTATGACAGGGGCTTAAGCTACTGTATTTATGCTTCATGCAGCACATATTCAATGTTACTTGGCTTTATTGATTGCCACAAACACATTTGCCACGCAGCAAACCAAGCTATGGTCATGGGTCAATAATCCAACTACAAACTAAAGACAATCTGAGGTTTAGCATCTTTCTGGAGGGTGTGACCCACAGCGAGCAGATTACTGTGGTCTGTGGTTGAACAGACTACAGTTATTCCTGATAACATCCTGATGGGTCAAAGCCAACCATACCTGTCCCGGGGAGCCATTAGAGGGGGGGCTGAATAGTGGGGGGTCCTCAGGGAAGAACTGAGAGAAGGTCTGTTCAGAGAGCCTGTACTGCTTCACTGTGGAGGGCTGAAAACAGAAGTCAGATGAAGCTAACGGGTGAGAGTTGGTCCTGCAGAGCAGATGGTGGTGGAGCTCCTACCTTCAGAATGATGCTGCCCTTCTGAGGTTCACAATGATGCTTGAAGAGGAGCTTAAGGCGTTCTCTGGATAGCACAGATTTCTTACGGCTGAAAAATGAATAAATACATCAAAAGATGAGGTGTTTTATAAAAAAAACTAAAGATCATCATTCTAGTATCATAAAGCCATGTGGATGTGATTGAGCAGGGCTGAAGCTAATGATTACTTTGCAAATTGATTAACCTGTCGATTATTTTTTCGATCAATAATCGGATAGCCAAAAGCCCCTTAAAGAAGAAACAAGGTGGAATTTAAAAAAAATTCCACTTGAGGAGTTCTGGAAAGACAGGGTTCCTACAGCATAAGGCGAGTTAAATTCAAGACTTTTTAAGACTTTTTAATGCCACTTGAAATAAAAATGTAAGACCAAATTCAAAAACACAAGAAAAACCTGCTTGCGACAACTTAACCCAAAGGTTTATTTTAACATAAACCACTGCACTAATGTTTCAAATCTTGAAAAGCTTCCCATACACGAAGAAAGCTAAAAACACACAAATGACAGATATATTTTAACAATTATTTAACTGAATTCACAAACTTTGTTTTAGCAGGGAATAAAACAAATCAGTTTTAAAGCCACAACATAACCAGTGCTAAGTCTTTTTGCAGCTATTTTTCTTTGTATCGTTTTCTTAGTATGTTTGATTTGGTGATAAGTGGAGGCGTTGCAGAAACAAGGGTGGAACAGAACTGAAAAATACCGGCTGTTTCTCAGTAAATCCATTTTGACACTTTGTGTTTCGTGCTTCGCATGTGCGACTCCACTGCCTTAATTCCCATCGTTCTGAGCTTGAATCACTTTTTCAACAAAATCCACTTAGCCTCATGTATGTTCCCTGGTTTTAGCCATGGAGAAAACTCTTGGCTGGAGACAAGTTTCGTTACATTTACACTTGCTCTTATTTTCCAGACAAAAAGTAAATGGCGCATCTCCCAAATGTCCCGGCCGCAACAATGCTTTATTGGTTCCTCTATCGGGATGGAACCAATAATGGCGAGCCGTTATTAAGAAAAAAAATTTAAAATAAAAAAATAAAAAATTCTATTTATGATGTTTTAAAAATTAAGACCTACGAAAGACTGATTTCAGACATTTTAATACCAATTAAGGCCTTAGCTTTATTTTGAAGAATTCAATGCCTTTTAAGACTTTTTTAGGACCCGCGGGAAACCTGGAAAGAGCAGTCTTAGAGAATAAAAATATTTTTTATCTTGAATGCAAAATGTTTACATTTTTTTTACGATCTTGGAATAATTCCTGTTCTAAGTGGGTCTCTCTGTCAGCTAAATAATCCAGTTGAAGATTAATCAATTACTAAACTAGTTGGTTATTTTAATAATCAATTCATCTGCTTACATTTTTCAGCCATATTATTGAGATGAACAGCATTCAAATGTAAAGCAGCGGTGCGCCAACGTCATCTTAGCATTCCACTGATAATAATGAGGGTTGCACACCATTATCAGTGCGTTATGGGGACCAACCAATATGGACCATCGCCCATTTCACTAATAGAATTCACTCGTATAAAAGACAAAGCTTTGGTGACAAATGATTTTTAACAGCCAAACAGGACAGGAGGAAGAAAACTACATGCTGTCTATAAGTAGTTCTGGGCAAAGGAAATCAGACGTGTCAAATAGCCAAAAATCTAATATCATAGATCCCTAATCCAGCGGGGGGTTTAGCAATTAGCTTGCTGCACCAATGATTTAGGTCTGTTCCTAATACAATACAGATTGTGGGATGTCGGGCATACACTGGATAAATCAGCAATACCCCCGACCCCCCACCCCCACCCCACCACCGCTGGGAAGTGTGCTGGTTACAGGGGCTGGTTGTAGAGGTGCGTTTCAGGGTTTGAGTGGACGGGTTACAGGCAGGCAGAACCGGACAGAAAAGGTTCCATCATTGACTTACACCTCTGTGATATAGATGCAGCATCAATAATGAACCGGAACACAGGGATGGGAGTGTATTGGGACACAACCTCAGGTCTTTGCTACTGAGCTCATAGTAATCAGACACCAAAGGAATCCATCACCGATAACTAGATATCAGATAATATCCAATAAAATGCATATTTATTAATTTAACACCACAACCTTTATACTTCAGCTGGTGTTTTTATTTTTATTTTTTATTTTGATTTGCCTTTTCTGCTCAGCCTTGTAGCAAGAAGGTTCTGGGTTCGATTCCCGGCCCGGAGTCTTTCTGCATGGAGTTTACATGCTCTCCCTGAGCATGCTTGGGTTCTCACCGGGTACTCCGGCTTCCTCCCACAGTCCAAAAACATGAATGTTAGGTTAATTGGCATCTCTAGATTTTCCTTAGGTGTGAGTGAGTGTGTGACTGGTTGTTTGTTCTGTGTGTCTCTGTGTTTGCCCTGCGATGGACTGGCGACCTGTCCAGGGTGGACCCCGCCTCTCAACTGTAGATAGGCACCAGCACCCCTCACCACCCCATTTGGGACAAGCGTGTCAGATAATGGATGGATATTTTTTTGTTTTGTTTGTTTTTTAATAACATATCTCAATAATAATCTCATAGTGATACACTGAGAAGAAACTCCTAATATCCAGCTTTATCAGCCTGTTCAGTGAAAAACACTCTTCAGAGTGGCTGTTGTTACAGTGGAAAGAATGAAAGAAGAAGAAAAATAAGAAGCTGCAGGAGGGGAAACTATTTCCTCGGGCAGGTCAAGACATCTACGAGCTTCTTAGGAAACAATAGGAGCCTGGTTCTGCTGGACGTTTCTTCCCATTAAAAGGGTTTTTTCCTCTCCACCTTTGTGACATGCTTGCTCAGTGCGAAGGGATTGCTGAAGAGTCAAAATCTACTGTTTCTACCTGCTCATCCAGGAGGAGAGAATCCTGCAAAGTCAATGACTGGAACCAATCAGGTGGTTTTCCTTAGAAACTTTTAACCTTTATTCTGCCTGTAGGATCTGGTTGAATAGTCCCTAAAGTGACCTGAGAGGACCGGTGTTGTTTTGGCGCTATAGAAATAAACTAAACTGATCAGATGGAAGACGGCTCCATGATCTTTACAATGAGAAATTCTAATGGCACTAAATGCTGTTTAATGTTACGACTGCCGTTGTCAACTGATGTAAATAGGAGCGTGCAGGTGCCTGTTGCTGCTTGGTTGCTAGACGGAGACGTCCAATCCCTCACTCCAGGAGGCCACTGATTGGATGGATATAAAAGCTGCTGACGTTTGTTTCCCTAAAGGTATACTATGCAACCGGTGTTGATTTTCCAGCGAGGCTCCCCCCAGAGGGCGAAAGTAAAACTGCACTGTCGTAAATATGCTCAGCTGTTCTCCTGGTTTCTCCGTCAAGCCAGACGCGGTTGTTTTGAGCTTAGCAGACAGGCGAACGCAACGAATCACCATGTCTACTGCGGTAAGTGACTATTTTGTTCGGATTCCGCTGTTTTCTCGCTGGTTACGCCATGATAACTGCACAAATATCGCCACTGCACTAGCAACGAGCATGCCTTTCACTGGGGGCGTGTAGCAGTTCTCGCGGTAAAGCAAGACGACTCTAGCGATGCACGAGACTTCTGAGCCTATGGGTGCGGGCCGAGGCCTCCTGCAATTGCAAGTACAGTATTTCCCCTACAGACCACCAGGGCGGCCGAGAAAACCTTTGTTCGACCTGAAATGACTCATTTTATCATCCAAAACGTTATGGAACACATTATTTACCTGAAAAATGTTGCATAGTGTGCCTTTAAGTTTCCTCATGTTTTCTTAGTTAGGGAGGTACGTTTTTGTCATTTGGTTTATTTATTTTCCATTAGGTCAGTTGGTTAATGTTCAGATTTGTTTGTCGTTTTGCGCATTAGCTCTCTCTGGCGTCATGTGCCCCACTTGTAAAATTTATCTTAAAAATACCTTTTTCTTTTAAATAAATAACATCATAAAATGTTCATGTTTGTGTGCTGGCTGCTTGGGATCTGAAGAGGATGGATCTTTCATGTTATGATTGGGCCACCCCTAGACAGGTTGCAAAGGCTAAAAACCGTCTCAGATGTGATGAATATTGTGTTAATCTGGTTTAACATTGACCTTGTTTCAAGACAAGATGTGGACCCTTTATTCAAATATTTTGCTTCACACCAATTACACACAAAAAACAGCACTATTTTAATACACTTCTATAGTCTGTTAAAGACACTAGAACAGGTGAGTAGAGCATATTCAATGAGCACATGAAATGAATTCATTTCAAAAATGAACATTAGAGCAGATATTTACCTGATCTGATTGGCTTTGACTGTGAAAGGTTCACTGCCTTCATCTTTGACCAGCCGGACTTTGTAATTATATGCGGATGGATTCAGGGGCTTCTTCTTTCCACTGCAAGCACAAACATGGATTCATACATTTTACATTTTAGTAACTTCTTCAAGATAAAAAGCAACAAACATTAGGAACAGCATGAGAAGAGCTGTACACCAAATTCTTTATTTTATTAAATCTCTTTCCTCTTTGTTCTAAACTTGATATGCAGTTATATAAATGAAAATAAGCTTTATAAGATAGTTACACATGTATTAGTAGAAACCTCAGAAATCGGGTTTCCATCAGCGTTCGGCCTCTAACTCTTTGGCAGCAGTTCCAGCCTCCAGTCTGTTTGGATCTGAATCATCCAGTTGAGCTCTGCATCTTTCTTTTTTCAGAACATCTCAGCTCCATCAGGTTGGAGGAAGGCGTCTCTGCAGCCCTTTTCAGAATCAAGTCTGGACTCTTCAAGTCTTGGTCCCTCCGGGACATTCAGAGTGGTTCTGATCCACTCCTCTGAGATTCTGCTGTGTTCTTTGGGTCGTCGTCCCAGTCTGAGGTCCGGGGGCCTCTGGATTTCTCCATGATCACCTTCTCTCCATGATCCAGCCACTCAGAGGGCAATAAATCAGAAGTCCTTCTAATTTCAATTCTATTGGAATAATTTTAAATTTTCTCCAAGTCCAGCTGGAAATACCAGCTGCCTAATATTTGTGAAGATGAAGAGTCTGCGCACCATCTGTTTGTGATGCACCATTTGAAAGTAAGGCTGAAATAAGCAGCCTGTTAGGATGAAAGCACATGTGCTGTAAGGTAGGCTGCAAGAGGGGTTTAAAGTCGCAGGGGAGCGGCTGTTCCAACTGTTGCATTTCCGAATTCTCCTGAGTGGTGCACGACTTCACACGAGTGAATAAAGTGAATGTGATTGGTCGTTTATCAAGGGGGCGGGATTGTTATGGCGGAAGCCTCACAGTCTGGTTGTAGCTGTAATATTGTTATGCATTTTTTTTTTGAGAAACAACAGCAAATAACAGAAGTAGAAAAGTTACACTCCACCTATTCCTTTTAAAACTTCATTCACTGAAAAATAATAATACCTCTGCGTTATGGATTCTGAAAGGCCTTGCATCAATAAATACTGCACAAAATCAGTGCAATGAGTGCAATTCAATACCTCGGCTCCAGACGTCCCCCCCCCCCTCCACAGTCGCTCCGCTGCACCTCTCCCAAATTGTAGCTGACCGCAGACAGGAAGCCGGCTTGTTTTGCTTTTACCGAAACTGCAGAAAATACCTCGTGAAGTTTGACCCGCTAGAAGAGCGAGGTGCGTGAGAACGCTGGGACCCTTTTTCCACCTGGATCTCCGCTCTTTTTGGCCCTCATGTCCCTCCGTCGTCGGACTAAACTCGCCCCTACTTCTTCAATGCCTCGGCCGTATCTAGACCCAGTGTGTAGCACAGACCACGCTTCAATATTGAGCATAGATCAAAAATGTCTGTGTCAAGCTCACTGTGACACACTGCTGTAAGAGTATAACCAGGAGGCGCGGTAGGAGGGCAAAATAGGTTTAGCGCCACCGCAGCACGGGAGGGAGAATTACGCCCAGGAGCAAATGGATAAAAATAGACCGGAGGAAAAAAAAAAAAAAACATGAATCGATTCTCTTGCGGAAGTGTCGATGCATCGGATCGTTGGCTGGTGGATCGATGCATCGATACAAAACGATTATTATTTACACCCCTATTCCTAAGTATTTTGTGGTACCCGCTCAAACATCCCTGTGACTGGCAGTGGATTGGTCAGACAGCCAAGAGAAATTTGTGACATCATATGATGTCATCAGCACATAAAGCGAAACCATTTCTCAGCATCATCACTCCTCCACCACATGCAGCCACAGGATGAGCGGTTCCTGTCCATCCTCGTCTCACTGAGGTTGTCGATACCTGATCTGATAGCCTCCATGTTCTAACCAAGCAGACTAATACCGCAGGAAGGGGGAAAAGCTAATAGAATGATGCACACCTCCAGAGCAGCAGAACTGGTCCTAATGTCTGAAGTTTGAGCTTTCAGGTAAAGGCTGTGAATACTTATTAATTGGATTTCTTAGGTTTCTATTTTTTTTAAATACAACAGAAACAACCTACCTTTATTCCCGATCCATAACCGGGCAGTGTGTGCAGCATATTGAGGAAAGATTAATGAATCATTTGGAATAAGGAAGGGTCATAGACTGCAACCCATATGTTGGCATAAGAATATAAACTAACATGTCAGTGATAATATTGTTTTACTGCAGAGTAATAACAAGCTGTGTATAGAAATAAAATCTAAATGACCGAATGTTTGTCTTTTTCAGGTTCAACCTGCTCTTGGTTTAGGTTCCTTTAAATCAGGTGATTTCCTGTCAGCTGAAGCGGGATTCATCTGTTTTACATTTAAAACGTCGTCAGCAAGGAGAAAAGCCCCAAAGGTCAGTTTTAAATCCTCAGTTTTTTATCTCAATATGATGTAATATCACGAGTTAGATTGTATAATAATCATTAACTTATCTTTTTAAGAAATAATATTCCTATTTTTTGCAGATTTTATTATTTTCCTCCAATTTTCTGAGACTCTCTGCTGATGGGTTCAGGGTAAAGTGTCCTACAATAGTCTGGTGTGGATCAAATGTGGTCCCTTTGTTCGTTCTAAAATAATCCCAGTTCGTTATTCCATGAAACCAGTACGTTAAGGTGGAGTCCTAAGCTCTGCCCAGTGGACTGTGTGGAACTGGTTTCAGGTGTTTTGGATCTACCAACCCGTTGAGCTGTGTGGGACTCTCAAAGACGTCCCTTTCATCGTCGCTGTCGCTGATAACGATGGTGTCGCTGTCCGCCCGCTTGCTCTGGCTGACGGGGGGTGGCGTTCTGTTAGAAAATGACGAAGGCGAGAGTACCTGCACAATCTCGCACACCCGCCTGAAACACACACAGTATTCACCATCAGCAAAACCGATAACAGCCCGACTGCTTCAAACAGGCTTCATCTCATTGTCTGGATATAGAGGTTAATTATAAGGTGGAAACTCTTCCTCCAAGCTTATTCTGCAGAATCTGCAGAAAATTCTAACACCTCCTCCAGGAGGAGAGACCAACACTTCCAGCACAGTTGCACATGATGGAAAAGTGGATGACCCGTTTTTTACCTGGCTCCGTTGCGCCCGCTGACGTCCACCGTTTCTCCCGGGAAGAAACGATCTTTGACAAAGGCGTAAACATCCTCGCAGAGCTCTGACAGCCTGCAGCGGCGGCTCAGGGCGGCCAGGTGGAGCAGCGGCACTACGAGGGCCTGAGGGAAGCTCTGCAGACTGTGTCTGGCCCGTCGCTCGCTCTCCACAGCCTCCAGGTAGGTGAGGCCCGCTCGCCCCGTCAGTGCACAGCTCCACACTAAGCTGTTACAGAGGATGGTCCTCTCAAAGAACTCGCTGTGGGGAAGGAAAGAGAAAAATTATCCACCATCTCCAGGAATTGATACTCTTGCGGACGTATCAATGCATCGGATCGTCAGCTGTTGGATCGATGCATCAATACAAAACGATTATTATAAACACCCTTATTCCTAAGTATTTTGTGGTTCCTGTTCAAACATCCCTGTGACTGGCAGTGGATTGGTCAGACAGCCAAGAGAAATTTGTGACATCATATGATGTCATCAGCACATAAAGCGAAACCATTTCTCAGCATCATCACTCCTCCTCCACCACATGCAGCCACAGGATGAGCGGTTCCTGTCCATCCTCATCTCTAAGTTCTAAGATGTGCAAAAGGCTCCATTATCTTTGCACAAAAATGTTTGGAAGAGAGGAAACATTTTTCTCCTGTTCAATGAGACATGGTTGAATGCTTAAACATGAATAAGTACCAGGCTTTTAATATTTAACTGAAAGTAATATATAATGTGTTTTACAGAATAAGTAAATTATAAATAGATCAGATACATTTCCTGCACATTCCTTTATGTCTGATAGAGGAGCATTTATCGTTATTGAAGTAAAACTGCCCAATTGATGGCAATATTGATTGGAGCTCATATCGTCCAGCCCTAGTTAGTGCAAAGAAAATCCATAATTAAAAAACGCAATTTTGGTTAAAATAATTGCAATTTAGATTTTTCGCAACATTCGGACGCTTTAGTCAATTAACCAGCATTTCAACTCAAGAAAGCAGATAACTTTTGTACATTTGTAAAATGCTTACTGTTGTGTTTTTTCTAAGGTAGACAATTTTAAGATCTCTCTAGGGACAACAGATGAAAAATAGCCTTTAGGCTAATTCTGGTGAATTTGCCAGAATGCTTATTAATGTACCGTCAAATAAATAGATACATCTAAATTTCAAATGCATCATTAAGAGCTAAGAGATGTACAAAAATAAATACTCTCTCCCTGAATGTTTTACAATCTGTATACTCCAGTTAATCACCGTTTCATTATCAAATTAAATGATTATTTTAATAATGGATTAATACTATTAATTGTTTCAGTAGAAAAGCTACTTTTTTAGCATTAAACTTTAAAATATCAGTGACTGATAAAAAGTGACAATTAAATGGAGATAATTAGAATCATGACTCTCATTCTTTTTTTCCAAGAAACATATAAAGTTTGAACTTACAGAAAGAAAAAAAATCTGCTAATTTGTTCTGCTCCCTTTTATTTATTCTTTATGCATTTTAGAGATAAATCAGCCACCCCAAAAACTCTTTTTTTCCTGTAATCATGAATAGAGGCATGCGTTCACCTTTGGGAGAGTGGTGGCCTAGTGGTTAGAGCAGTGCGCTTGTGCTCTGAGAAGGTTGCAGTACCCATTTTGATCCCCACAGCCTGCACTCTGGGTCCCTGAGCAAGACCCTTAACCCCACACTGCTCCCCGGGTGTCGCACAATGGCAGCCCACTGCTCCCCAAGGAGATGGGTTAAGTGCAGAGAGTGAATTTCTCCAATGTGAGATAAATACATTTCAATGATTATTATTCAAGTTATTTAATGCTTTCAGCAGCAGCAGGTCGCATGAAGCAATGCTTCTCCCTACATCTGCCATCCACAGTTAATACTGTTAATTATTTCTTTTTTGATTAAATTGGAAAATTTGTTTTCATCATTGTGTCACTTTTATAATTTAAATGAAGAAAATAAAAGCAACATTGTCTCAAGGAATCAGCAGCACATATCAGGGATTTATAACACTGATGTGAAAAAAAAAAAATCATAATTTTTTCCCCTCAGTTTCTCCCACAAAATCCCAATGTGAAAAAAAGGTAAGAAGGAGATAATTTTTATAGATATATAGGTATTAGGGATGGGACGGTTTACGAAAACCGTCCGAACTGTTCGGTTCGATTCACTTGTGTTGCGTTCGGTTCATGCGCTGCTCCTTTTTCTCATAGGTGAAGCGTTTACACTCCAGAGCAGAAGGTGGCGGTACTGCGACCAAAGCCAACCACCAGTAGTAAACAAGAAGAAGAAGAAGAAGCGAAGCAGCGTAGCTGGGTGTAGCAGAAAAAAAAATCAGTTGTTGTGGAGAATTGTGTGGGTATGGCGAGTGGGAAAGAACATAAGTTGGAAGACGCGCCAGCAGCACTTTATAGGTCTGCTGTATGGGACCACTTTGCATTTAGAGTGACCTACGATGACGGCGGAAAGAAAGTTGTGGATAAAAGTGCAACAGTGTGCAAGCATTGTGCAACACGTTTTGTTTATGCTTACAGCAACATGACCAACATGTCATGCTGACCCCGAAATCCCACATACTCCATCAGCGCTCCGCCCCGCTGCGCTCCAGACCGCCTGCACAAAGCAAAGCCTACAGCCTCCACTGTGGCTCCCGTCCGCTCCGCTCTGAGTTCCTTGGAGATCATAGAGGGCATGCGCGAGATGATTAAATTCAAAGCAGCAAAACATGCAGAAATGATACAGGGTTTCCGCGGATCATTAAAAATAATTACAGTTCATTAATTTTGGGGATTTTTTTCATAAATGTTTATTTTTTCATAACTTTTTTTTTATTTTAATTTTAATTATTTTTTTTTTGGGTGTAACAATAAAAATATACCGAACCGAAAACCGTGACCACGAAACCGTGAACCGAACCGAGGATTTTGTGAACCTTTCCAACCCTAATAGATATTGTTCTTATTTAGACTCTGTATGTTTATTTTTCAGTGGGGGGCTTTATTTTTTTCTTTAATAATCCTGTATGGATAAAATAGTTTCTTTCCTTCATCACTATCTTTCAGTCATAGTGGACAGTGTGACCACAGAAGTTGCACTTTCCATTGGTTGTAATGTAAAAAAAAACAAAAACAAAAAGAAAACATTCCTTAACATTTTGTAGCAGGTAACATCTCATATAGCAGGTAGATGAAGGTGGACCTTCAGTGGGAAACTTGCAGGTTCCACTTCACTAAAAATCCAATATGGCTGCCATGTGGCAGACAGCTGAACACTGTTCATCTTCACTTCACTTCGGACAAGTTGATTAAAAGGTTTTCCACAAACGCTCCATTTATCCTCGTCTAAGGAAAAATGTTCCACTGTGTTTAAAACTAAACCCAAACACATCATTATTAACTGTTTAGCTGTGGTTGTTATCCAGTAAACCCACTGCTTTCTGAACTTCTATTGACGGACTCTCTGGTTCATGGAGAACCAAACAACTAAAAGGTATTTTGGTATTTCTGTGTGTCGCTATAGGGACCATTAGAGTGTCATAACGGAGCGTTTCCTCTGGGACCGGCTGCGCGCGGACGGGAGCCCTACACTCCCGGGCTTAGCTCCGATAGCTAACCAGGCTAACAGCTAGCCGCCGTACACCTGTCCCGCTCCGACCGCCTGCTTTAACCCGCTCCTACTGACCGGGAGCACTTCTTTAAAAACACAAAAAAAGTTTAATTCTAGTTTTATTTATAATAAAAAAAAATACTTAGTTTTCTGTGTTGTGTGGAAGTTTGTCCGTCAATGAACACTCTAAAGTTAGTTTAAACGCTTTTCAGAGTGGAAGCAGAGACTTACTCGTAGGTCCTGAAGACTTCGTGGGTGATTTTACAGAGAAACACTTCTTCCTCCGGCCTGAGGTCCGCCGGAGGTTTCTGCCGGACGAAGGGCTTTCTGTGGAGCAGCGGCATCTCTTCGCTCCGCTTCCACTCTGAAAGAAAGAGCGAAACCGGGTCACGGCCGTTACCCCCAAAGCGCTGATAAACGTCTTAAATAAAAGTCTGGAGCTAAAGCAGAACCCCGGTTAGGAAGACCGACAGAGCAGCGGGAGAGCGGAGGAGGAGGTGAGCGGGTCTTTTGTTACACGCGCCGATAATCCTGGCCGCATGGAAGTGCTCCTCTTCATTATCTCCAACCGAGCCACCAAACTCTGAGATCAACCCAACCGGGAGCTCCCAGCTTCGAGGCTCCGACTCTCCATACACCAAAAACAGCCACAGACCGATAGGAAGGGTCGGTCTTCGCCAAGTTGTGGCTCGATGAAGCGGTAACAGGCGGTCCGGACCGAGGAGGAAGAACTCCGGGCTCTGCCTGGCGGCTTGTTGACGAACTTTTAGACCACTTCACGGACTCCCGGTTTGCTGGGAAATTTCAGCTATGTTAGCTTCAAACAAGAAACGAGAAATCGGTTATCATGCAACAGTTTGAGAATAAACTATAGCCAGAGGTGGATAGAGTATCCAAAATACTACTTCATAAACAACAGCAGTACTTCATCTTTTTTTACTTAAGTAAAAAGTCAGAAATTGTGGTTTCCTATACTTTACTGAAGTAATTAGTTTAGAAAACTTCACTTCTGCTCCTTACATTTTTGCAGTTATCTCCACATTGAACTCCTTACATTTTTTTAAAATAGTCATTAGTTTTCTTTCATTTAAGCTTATTTTGGTTATGGCCTGTTGGTATTTAAAAATAAAATAAAAAAAAAACATCAGAATAATTAGTTTTATCCAGACAATTAATTTCTTTGTGGTTGGACTTGGTGCTGCCCCAACTTGTTGCTCACCACATACCAAAATAGATAGTTTTTCAAGATGATGCAACGTTAAATTTGACACCATTAGTGATAAAACTAAGAAAATTAGGTCTAAGGAAATTATCACCCAGAATTGTAGAACATTTTTCCTTTAATAGGGTAGAGCAGTAAAGCTTTAATACTTTAAGTAGTTTTAAAAATTGTACTTTTACACTTTCACTATCGTAAAAAGCTGAAGTTGATCCTCTAACTTCTACAAATGTGTTTTTAAACAGTAGGATTTATACTGGAGTAATAAACATGGAAAACTTTTGACACATCTACTGTTTACCATATTTTCACTTAATCTCCAAATGACTCGACAGAAAGAAAAAAACATTTAATCATCAAGCCTTGAATGCAAAAAATAATAAAGGTGTATATTTGTTTAGAAATAAACTTCTCATTAGCTGAAGGTACTCACAGTAGATGGAGGGGGCAGACATTTTATGCAAGAGTAGTTATTATATCTTTACTCAAATACAAGTAAAACCTACTTCTAAGTAAATGTATCTGTGTGTATCCCACTGTGGGTAGTTTTAAAATAGTACATCAAATCCAATAGGGAGTTTGCACTTTTGAATAAATAGTAAGTAATTTAACTTTATTGATCTCACAATGGAGAAATTAACTCACTGCACCTAACCCATCCCCTTGGGGAGCAGTGGGCTGCCATTGTGCGGCACTCAGGGAGCAGTGTGGGGTTAAGGATCTTTGCTCAGCATGGCAGTCTGTGGGAGTGGGTTTCAAACTCACAACCTCAGGATTCCAAGCTCTTTGCCCTAACCATTAGGCCAGCTGTGGAGTAAAAAAATGTTGAGGTATATCTGTTCTTAGCCTCACAGGCTCCAAACGAAGGTCATGAGACAAGAATGAGTTTCACAGCCTCCTTCTTGGTACGAAGGGGAGGACTGCTACTTTGAGGAGATCCATCTGGCCAGTGAAAGATATATTAACCTAACAGGGAATGGCCTTGATGAACTGAAGTTGTTGAACCCTAATCAGCATCAGCAGAAGTTGGACATGATACCACTACATTCAATTCCATTTTTTATGACTGTTTATTAAGCAGAGGAACATGACTCTTAATATTTTATAATATCACTAATAACGCTATCTTTTGATCTAATTTTGTTTAAAATGTTTTACTTTTATTTATCAGAAAAGACTCCAACCATTTCATAACACATTTAACTCACCTTTCCATCCAGCTGCATCAGAGCTCATTTAGAAGTAGTTTCATACATCTTAAAATGTCAAACTAACCTTTTTTACTAATATTGATATTACCCGTTACCCGTTTGAATAAAAGTAAATATACTAGTTTTGAAGGACACACTTTTGAAAATACTTGTGTTCAAAAGTACATGCATTGAAAAGTACTTAAGTCTTCAGAAATACATATAAAACTTTCCAATTTCATTGCCATCCATCCATTTTCTGTCACCCTTATCCCTGCTGGGGTGTTGAGGGATGCTGGTGTCTATCTCCAGCTGTCTGCAGTGAGAGGCGGGGTCCTGTCCATTGCAGTGTCGCTACAAGCATGCTTAGTGTGAGGGATTGCTGAAGAGTCATTGAGTCGATGCAATCAACTGGTTTTCCTTAGATAGAATACTTTGAATCAATTTGACTGGATGATCTGGTTGAACTGTAAAGTGCCTTGAGATGACGTGTTGTGAATTTGGCGCTATAGAAATAAACTGAATTGAATTGAATAGAATATGGTTCACAGAGAATGTGGAAAAGTTTTACATTAGAGGCTTTTCCTCCTGCAACAATTTTTTTTATTTTACAGTTATCCTGTTTATTTATATAGAAATAAATACATGTTAGTTTTTAAACTATCTGAATTTGTATTCGGGATCAGAGAGCGCAGGGAAACCCCAGCATGGTCCACCCAGCGTGGCAGCCCACTGTGACAGGTTCAAACGAGGGAACATCCACCCACTGTGGGAGAATGAAGGGATTTAAAAAACAAAACAAAAAAGCATTTATGTGAAATAAAGAATCAGTAGCTGTTTTCACCAAATACCTTTTTTTCTCTTTAATTTATTGGATGGCTGCTTTGTAACTTCACTTAAGTTTTAGACCAGTTTGGTTCCATGTAGAGATAATTGTAAGAAAAGGGAAATGTAAATTTACGCAACAGTGTAAATCATTCTCCATCTCTAATAAATGTAGAAGTTATGTTTCATGTCATGGTTCGATCAGGAAAAGAAGCTCTGAGCTGCAATGTTGACAATCGGACTTCCCGTCTGTTCATTAAAACTGGACCTTTCTGAATCCTGAGAAAAAAAACATTACGTCCAAACCCAGAAGCAGACCAGAGTGATTCTCCACCTCTTCCGGTCAGACCTGTAACCACATAGTTCAGAGATGAATGATCCGTCTGTAGCCATCTGGTCTATTTTAGGTGGATCCATGGCTGCGCTCAGGCTAATCAGTCTGTGGTCACATGGCTGTGTTCAGGCGGGTTGGTCGATGGTCACATGACTCAGTAGGGCAGCATTATCCGGCTGGCTCTGCTGCAGTCAGATGACCCTGTACAGGTGAATCTGTCTGAGATCTTCTGGGTCTGTATCCCTGCCCAGGTAGACGCTGTAGTCAACAGGAAGCTCCTCCACCCAGCCTGGCTGCAGCGGTGCCTGGAAGATGAAAAGGGGGAATCCTCAGGATAAACTCCACAGCTCCATGGTGTTTGAATCCCTCCACTTCCTTTGTAACAGAGCAGATCAGCTCTCTTGGGGTCCGTTTCATGAAGCAGGTGTAACAAATTCAGATTCAGATCATCAACTCTAAACTGATCTAGCCTAAAGTCGGGAACTCTGAGTGTTCGGTTTCACGACAGCTGCTATGAATTAGTTCAATCAACTCAAAGTAGGTCGACTCAGAATTAAACGCGTGCGCAACAAGTATGAAAAGCAATTATCAGTGAAGCACCGATTTGACGAGTAATCAGAACAACAGGCAACAGGAAGTGCCTATTTCACCACACTGGAACTGGAGATTTTAATGAAAAAAAAAATTTGTCTAAAAGACATAGAAACAGCGCTACAGCGACGAAGAGAAAGAGGAAGGTGGAAAAGGAGAAGATTGTTGTTCAAGTTACTGCGCAAGTTTATATGAAGTGGACTATTGCAGGTAGTTTCTTTATTTATTAGAAGCACTGTCCTCTCTGTTGTTCCATTTGTAGATCACTAAAATAAGTGATCTACAAACTCTCTTTTTAACTGTTAATCAGGACCACTTCCTGAGAGGTGAGCCCAGAGGTGAGCAGCCGCCATTCTGTAACCCTAAGCAATTTCTCTGATCTGAGTAAGATTACACTTTCTATCAGAATCTTTTGTCTACATAAGTTATGAAGTGTTGTTTAAAGCAGCGTTCCCCAACCACCGGGGCACGGACCGGTACCGGTCCGTCTGTCATTTGGTACTAGGCTGCACAGAAAAAAATATATATATATAATTCATCCATGATCAGAGTCTGAGTGATGTTTTATTTTGAAAAATGTAAAAAATTGGGGTATTCTCTCCAATTACATCAGTCTGCGCCTCTTGAAACAGGTTAATTCATGTCAAGATGCATCCCATCTATAACATCCTATCTTTGGTAAGCGGGATTTTCTGCTGTTACAGCGACCAAAACAAAGCTACAGAGCAGACTGGACATCAGGAGCACACTTCGTGTGTCATTGGCTCCGATTACGCCTAGATGGGACCGGTTTATTTTGGAGAAACAAGCTCAGGGCTTCCACTAATTCAACATAATGGTGAGTTTTATTTTTATGCCATTTGTATGTGATTTTATGCCAGTCGTATCATTTTATTTGATCGTATTTACCCCCACACTTTAAAGGCCGGTCCTTGAAAATATTGTCTGACATATAACCGGTCCGTGGCGCAAAAAAGGTTGGGGACCGCTGGTTTAAAAAGTTTGTCCTGAGTAATCTCTTTTCAGGGAAAAGAACCGGAGTGATAGAGCATCAGGGTGCATACACAGTGCCTATCTTTAACAAATGGTGTTTCCGCTCGAACCTGAACAAGCTGTATCACTCAAGGAGAGTGACTGATGGACCAGCCACACAGCTGCGGCTGCACAGAGGTGAGGAGATTCCCTTTAAATATCTTCAGTTTTCTAAGGAGTTCGGTGAGCTTTGGGTTCTCAGGCCACCAGAAAGGATGCCACAAAAATATTGTGTTTATTTTAGCTCTGTATCTACCAAGTTGCAATTTAACTTCTGAGAAAATGTTTTCCCTCTCCAGTGGGCATGTAGCCTGGTAAACCAGACTAAATGTGAGATAAAAGGTGTTATTTAGTCTGGCCCCGATTAATGAGACATTGGAAGATTGTTGATGAGAGCAACCCGTTGTTTTTCAAACCGCTGTCTGTGCCTATTGGCAAACGCTTTGACCAATGAGCACAACTGACTCTGACGTAGGAAGCGCGACAGGAAGCTGGTGGGGGAGTGTAAACAAACGGCCTGTCGGTAAAACAGTGAATAGATCCTTCTCAAAAATGAATGAGTGTAGAGCCTCTTCCTGCTCATGTTTCATCGAAAACCCCAAGTCTAATCCTTCCAAAACTGATTCTAAAGCGGAGTCAAAAATGGCCATCAGAGCCAGCGATCCTGGAGACGTGCTCCGCTGGTTGCCGTGGGCCTCTCAACTTCAGAAATGTTTTTTAAAATTATGCATTAAATTAGTAAATAGACCATATAGCAACGCTTTTAAGTATACAATTCTCGCCTTAAATGATCTTAAAATGTACTTTTATTGAACAACAGCAACAGAAAGAGAACTTTAAACTTTCAATGGAGCGCTCCATTGAAAGCTGCTGCTGCATGCTACTGTTCAATAGTTGTTGCCATCTTCCTTGTTGTGCTTTCGTAACGTTCTGCTCTCTCTGCTTTTTCTCATAGTAACTTCATCCGGTCTGTTCCTGTTTGGCTGTGACTCCATCCTGGAGAGAAATATTAGCTGTGCTGCTGCCATCAACACCCTTGTTTATAGATGTTGGAGCTTGGCCTGTTTTCCAGTGTAGTCCTGTTTCTCTGACTGTGACTAACTGGATGTGCTCTGTTCATCCTCTGACATGGGAGCTTGTCTGCCTGGCTGTGTGTTTCCTGGACAGGGCCGCCTGTTGAGCTGGTTGACAGTTGCCTTTTGTATCTATGCTTCTTTTTCTATCTCTGTTTCTTTCTCCTTGAACCCCAGTCGGCCTCAGCAGATGGCCGCTCACACTGAGCCTGGTTCTGCTGGAGGTTTCTTCCTGTTAAAAGGGAGTTTTTCCTCTCCACTGTCGCTACAAGCATGCTTAGTGTGCGGGATTGCTGAAGAGTCAATGAAAGGACCAGATGTCTGGCGGTTGGTTCAAAGTCAGAGCAGGATGTGGAGCATGAGAAAACCCACCCACAACGTTTAGCAATTCTAACCAGTTGGTGCCTGTGAATCCATTCATTAAAAGGACATTTAACTGGAAGTCTGGTTTATCAATGATGATGAAAGCAGGAAGAAATGTCCAATCCATCAGGAGAAGGATCAAACATTTTGCACCAAAGTGGGTCCAGGCTTTTCTTCTGGCTGTGGAAAAATGTAACCGCTTCTTTTCTGCGTTTCAACTCGTTCAGGTTTTGCTCTAAAAACCGGGCCGCAGAAAAAACACATCAGATGGTGTTTTTCAAGAGTTTACCTGCAGAGCATCCAGACTTTCCTGCAAACTGGGAACGGTAACCAGCAGAGATCCTTTCCTCCTGAAGGCCTGCATGATGAACCTCCAGGCTCTGAACACACAGATGGACAAACATTCACCTCAGCATGTGCGCTGCAGTTGCTATTTTCTGGAATATTTCCTTCGGAGCCTCAGAGGAGCTACCCGATTTGTTCGCTGGGCTCCATGAAGTACTCAAAGACATTGTTCATAACCAGAACATCAGCGCTCTGCAGCAGGACCTCTTGATCACAGACGTTTGCATGGAGAACCTGTGTGGAAGTAGAAGGGTTTTTGTTAAAAATGTGTGAGATCACATGAACAAAGCTGAAGACGACACAAACCTGGACTCTGTCAGCCAGTCTATACTTGAGGATTATGTCGTTCTGCAGCCTGACGAAGTCCTCGCTGAGCTCCAGCCCGATGAGCCGAGAGGCTGAGCTGTACACATAACCCTGAAAACATCATCAACACCTATTAACCATGACTAGCATTTTATTTTCCTAAAACAGAAACACTGAAGTGTTTGATGGATTTTTAATCTGGAGGCTGACCTTAAATGATAAGTGTTTTTAATTCAGAGTAATTTTCATCTGAATGTGCTGTCTACCTGTCAATAGCGTGAAGAGGGCTCTCACCAGGATCAACCCACACAAAGCAACAGGCCCAGACAACATCCCCGGACGGGTGCTGAAGGACTGTGCCGAGGAATTAAAGCATGTTTTCACCGACATCTTCAACACCTCACTACAACAAGCCATCGTCCCCTCCTGCTTCAAAGCCCCACCATTATACCGGTGCCAAAGAAGCCATCTCCATCCTGCTTAAACGACTACCGTCCCGTAGCACTGACACCCATCATCATGAAGTGCTTCGAACGGCTGGTCATGACACATATCAAATCCATCCTCCCCCCCACCCTGGACCCCTTTCAATTCGCATACAGACCCTGGCGCTCCACAGAGGACGCCATCAACTCAGCTTTGCACCCAGCCATCACTCACCTGGAGAAAAAAGACTTATGTGAGAATGCTGTTCATCGACTTCAGCTCAGCATTCAATACAATTATACCCCAACAGCTGATATGCAAACTGGACAAACTGGGCCTCAGCACCTCCCTCTGTAACTGGCTGCTGGACTTCCTGTGCCAGAGACCGCAAGTTGTGCGCGTCGGTAACAACACCTCGGACACTATCACGCTGAGCACAGGAGCTCCACAAGGGTGCGTGCTAAGCCCTCTGCTCTTCACCCTACTCACACACGACTGCAAAACAACCCACAGCACTAACCACCTGGTGAAGTTTGCAGACGACACAAACCTGGTGGGACTCATCTCCAACGGTGACGAGACACACTACAGGACAGAGGTGGACCACCTAGCCAAGTGGTGCAGTGACAACAACCTCCTACTGAATGTCAGCAAGACAAAGAAGATTGTTGTCAACTTCCAGAAAGGTCCCCGCCGACTCCTGCCACTGACCATCGATGGCGCTGCTGTGGAGAGGGTGAGCAGCACTAAATTCCTAGGAGTGCACATCAGCGACGACCTCTCCTGGACCACCAACACTGCATCACTGGTCAAGAAAGCCCAACAACGCCTCTACTTCCTGCGGAAGCTGAATCAGGCCAGTGCCCCACCAGCCATCATGACCTCCTTCTACAGAGGAGCCATTGAAAGCATCATCACCAGCTGTATCACTGTATGGGGCGGGAGCTGCACTGACTACAACAGGAAAGCCCTGCAACGTATAGTGAACACAGCTGGGAGGATCATCAAGGCACCTCTCCCCTCCCTGCAAGACATCTACTCCAGCCGCCTCACCCGCAAAACCCTCACAATTTTGAAGGATGACACCCACCCAGCACACAACCTGATCCGTCTCCTGCCCTCCGGAAAGTGGTACAGAAGCCTACGGTCCAGAACCACCCGGCTGGCGAACACCTTCATCCACCAGGCCATCAGAATGCTCAACTCCCTCCACCCCCTCCCCACACGGTCTGCTCCAGCCACCAGGCAGACAGGAAGCTAAGACTGCCCCTCTCTCTCTCTCTCTGTCTCTCTCTCTCTCACACACACCCACACACACATACACTGTACCAGAGACTGCACCTTACCTGCACTACCTCAGCCTGGAACAAACTATTGCTGCTGTTTTTATTGCTTTTTATTGTAATGTTTATACTTCATACTTATATTTATCTTACCACTCTTACCTGTCATGTCCCGCACTTTATGTCAGTTTTTAAATGTAAGTCTTGTATATTCTTGTATATTTGTATATTGCAGAGAGTAAACGTAATTTCATTTCCCTTGTATGTCTTGTACATATGTAGAAAATGACAATAAAAGCTGACTTGACTTTACTGGAGGCATCCATGTTTGTGAAAGAACCCTACTGCCACCTACTGGTTTGTGACGTCACGGTGTGGTATCGGCTGTTGATCAAGTCCCAGTGCTGTATCTGGTGTTTGTCACAACGCGCTATTATCCAAGTCATCTTGACAACATTCTTCTTCCAAATGTTGGCTACATATTACGTGTTTTTTCTCTGGCCAGAAGTTCGATGGCAAATCCTCCCTCTTGAAGTTGGCAATCCAACGACGAACCCGTCCGTGGAGGATCAGGAATCAGAAAGGTGAAATAACTCTTTTTTTTTTCCACTTTTACCCAATGTATTCCAACATCCAACTGCCATGCACGTGAGCATTGTCAGTTTCACTATAGCTCTGGTGAATTTCAATGGTGAAGTCCTCTGGAAATCTTCAATAATTGTTGTTGATTGCAGATGTGTCTAGTAGTTCCCATTGATTGATTGTAAAGCGGGGAGAATGGCGCTAGGCTTACCGCACCGTGACGTCACTGCTGGAAGATGGCAGGAGGGAGGGGTTACTATATTTGGGCAAAAATGGCCGCTCCCCAGCTTAGTGATTGAGACGAAAATTCTTATTTTTTTACTGATTAACAATTAGTTCATTAAATCACCACAAACATATTCATTTTAGGTATAAATAATGATCCATTGATTATTCTTTGCTGACTGAATTTTTCCTTTTAATATGAGAGAAATCAAAAACTCGATGTGTGGATGATTATTGCAAAAATCTTCTAAAAATGTGAAATTTCAAAAATGGAAAAATTGACAGAATTTCAGTTCTTTATAAAGGAAAGAATGACGTATATGAAGCTGAATAAAACAGGCAAATTTCCTATTTATTTAGATCAAAGATTTTATAAAAAAAAAAAAAAAGTTCCAGATTATAATGCAATAACTAATTCATACACTGGCACTTAATTTACTCCTATTCTACTTAAAGTATAAAGAAGTGATTTCAGTTAATTAACCAGGTGTTTGAAGGTTTGGAAGCCAAGGGTTAATGATACTGGCAGTAAACTGGCCTCCATTAGCATTTTTCTATGATAACATGGAAAGATGCACACATCATACCTGCCAGTGATCGGCAGAGAAACCAAAACACTGTGGCAGTCGGCTACATTCAGGCATTTTCAGTGTTGCATTATGAACAATAGCATAAACTTCCAAAAAGAAAAAAAAAAAACAGATCTACTGGACTTTGTTTCCAAGTTGAAGATGTTTCTCTTCACATCCAGGAAGCTTTTTCAATTCAAAATCTCAGAAATAACATTGAGTTCCAGTTTTATTTAAAGCTCAACACTATTTCTGACATTTTGAATTGAAAAAGCTTCCTGGATGAGAAGCGAAACGTTTTCAACTTGGAAACAAAGTCCAGTAGATTTGTTTTTTTTTTCTTTTTGGAAGTTTATGCTATTGTTCATAATGCGACTGCCACAGAACCCTCATTTAAAGAGGAACATGGCCAAAGTCAGTCCTCAGGGCTGCTTTGCCGTCCTGCAGGTTTCAGACGTCTCTGCTTTAAGATGGCTCATTCAGATAACTGCTGTTGTTTTCAGTGGAAATCAGGGGTGCATAAGAGGGGAAACATCAGACCTGCAGGTCAGAGACCCTGCAGGAGCGGCTCTGGATCCTCCTGAGCTGAACTCTGAACTTCACGGCTTTTATCAGAACTCTGTCTGGATCTCTGACGTTTGCAAATGTTGAAACTGACCCCATAAAGAACTGCTCCCAGCCTGGAACCAACATCCACCACCGTCCGACCACTGAGGTCCGGAAGGACGTTCTGGAACAGGAACTGGAGTTCTGATACTGAGAAGGAGTGTGAGATGAAATCTGCAGGAGAAGAAGAAAACTACATCAGACCCTCAGGAGGATTCTGGTCATTTATTCCATCTTTTCAAGCCGTTTCATTGCTGAGCAATGGAAAGGAGACGTCTGACATGTGGCACTGGGGGGACGTTTTGCCTCTGCTTTGATGATAAACAACTGAATGTCATTTCCAATGACCAGTTTTATGTAGAATGCCGGGCAGAACTCCGGGAAGAGGGCCGCCAAATGATCCAGGAAGTCCTCTGGAGTTCTTCCCTACATGCAGCAAACTGCTACAGCAAATACTGGAGGGTAAAGGACATGCATCTACATCAGAACTAAGATGGCAGCTAAAAGGATCCTGGACCAGCGTTGGAAGTTTCTTCTGTTTTCCGAGGATTTTTCCATGTTTTCTTTTTCGGTCCAGAATAATCTTCCTTCTGAAAGAAGAAGTCAAATTTACTGGAAAGTTTTGTTTGTTTTGATGAATATTTTGCCTTAATCAGGCCCAGATCCAGTACTAACCTGGAGGCGGGGTTCAATATCTATAAACCAGGGGGGTTTGGGGACAGGAAGAGCAGAAGAAATGTAAGGAAAAGAAAACCAGCTGGTGGAATCTGAGTTTTTCTTAACGTTTAAAGCGGAGGTCTTCAACAGGGGGTCTGTGACCCCTAGGGGGTCCACGGAGATACTGCATGGGGGTCGCGAAAGTTTTGGTTGATTAGACTTTTTTTTTTTTTTTTTAGACCTTTTTCCGGTCAAGGCCATGGTTCTCGACTGGAACAAGGTGGCTTGTCCCCTTCAGGTTGGAGGAGAGTCCCTGCCTCAAGTGGAGGAGTTCAAGTATCTTGGGGTCCTGTTCACGAGAGAGGGAAGAATGGAGCGGGAGATCGATAGACAGATCGGTGCGGCTGCTGCAATAATGCGGACGCTGCACCGGTCTGTCGTGGTGAAGAGAGAGCTGAGCGAAAAGGCAAAGCTCTCAATTTACCGGTCGGTCTATGTCCCTACCCTCACCTTTGGTCATGAAATCTGGATCATGACCGAAACAACGAGATCCCGGACACAAGTGGCTGAAATGAGCTTTCTCCGCAGGGTGGCTGGGCTCTCCCTTAGAGATAGGGTGAGGAGCTCGGTCATTCGGGAGAGGCTCAGTGTAGAGCCGGTTCTCCTCCACATCGAGAGGAGTCAGTTGAGGTGGCTCAGACATCTTCGGATGAGATTAAGGTCAGAATTCTGAGATTAAAGTCAGAATTCTGAGAAAAAAGTCAGAATTCTGACTTTTTTCCCATATTAAACTGAAACAACATTTAAAAATCTGTTAACTTTTTATTTTTTTCAGTGGCCCTAATCCTCTTCAGTAGTTTGTAACTGTGTTATAAAAGAAAAATAAACACACAAAAAAACTGTAATGAAAAAAAAAAAAAAAAAAACCCGAACATTCTGCTCTGGAAACTAAAGTTCAACCTTTGGCATTTTTGTAAGTTAAATTTAAAATTTAATTCTGTGTAATGCAGCTGTGTTTATATGGCGAAATCACAGGAGATAAGCTGGTATCACAGTATCTTTAAAGGAATAGTACACTCAAAACATGATTAGCCTTCATTTTCTACTCACCCCCATGCTGAACAACACTCTGGAGTACTTTTTTGATATCTCAAATGCATCTGGAGATCTGGGAGGCTTCTTGCTGTCTGCTGACATTCAAATAATGGAGGTCTATGGCGCCCGAGGCAGAAAGGTCCATAAAAGTCCACAAAAAAACGTGTCAATATTCCTCCATACTGCTCGTCCAATGTATTCCAAGTGTCCTGAGTGGGTAGCGTCCAGAATTTACTCGAAACGAAGTCATTTAGAATGTTTTTAGAGCATAAACAGTAGTGTATAGGATTTCCTAAAAGCGCGTTCACGAGTCTACGGAAACCGCGGCAGACCAAACCAGATGAAAGTGCGCATTCAGCTCGGCAAAGAACTCATGCTCTTCCTCAACACTGAAGTCCTCAGACATTTTTCTTTCGTTGTTTCTTTGCACAGGTAAACAGCACATTTCTTCTTCTACGCTTGCATTATCGGCAGAGCAGACGCTGAATGTGCACTTTCATCTGGTTTGGTCTGCCGCGGTTTCCGTAGACTCGTGAACGCGCTTTTAGGAAATCCTATACACTACTGTTTATGCTCTAAAAACATTCTAAATTACTTCGTTTCGAGTAAATTATGGACGCTACCCACTCAGGACACTTGGAATACATTGGACAAGCAGTATGGAGGAATATTGACACGTTTTTTGTGGACTTTTATGGACCTTTCTGCCTCGGGCGCCATAGACCTCCATTATTTGAATGTCAGCAGACAGCAAGAAGCCTCCCAGATCTCCAGATGCATTTGAGATATCAAAAAAGTACTCCAGAGTGTTGTTCAGCATGGGGGTTAGTAGAAAATGAAGGCTAATCATGTTTTGGGTGTACTATTCCTTTAAACTCGACCCTGCAGAACTATTTTACAGGCGTCTCTGAGCCTAACTGCACGTTTATAGATGGAGGACAGAGGCGTGCTCCTACCGAGGGGTGCCGTCCTCAGGGACCCGCAGCTCAGACAGTATTCCCTGCTCATGGCCCCCTCCTCACACAGAGCATCCACCTGCTCCTCGCTGTACAGGAAGCCGTCCACGTGGACCGTGGGTCTTTCCCGCATCTGCATCTAATAAACCAAAATATAAAAAAAGGATTGCAGCTCCGACATCATTATCAGTCAGGAAGAGCAACGATGAAGCCGACGCTGCTGCTTCCTTCAGCAGTGGATTATTCAGCCCCTGGTTGGTTCATTCAGAACATCTGCTGTGCTCCAGCTAGTTTGCTCATCTCTGCCGACACTTCAGTAACATAAAAAGAATGTTGATTTGTAATAAATAGACCTTCTGCTGAGCAGCAGTCTCAGAGGGCAGCATGGCATCGACAGGCAGCCTGGCTCTCAGGTCTGCTGCGATGCTCTGCAGGATCACTCTGTTGTTGTCAACCAGCAGCTCATCCAGCTCATCTAGAGAAAGATGCAGACAGACGTTAGTGGAACCCACATTAGACCCTTCAAACAGGAGCTCTCCTCCAATTAGCATGGAGAAATTATCAAACTGGGGGAACTTTGCTCCATGATCATTTGGAAATGGAAACTTGAAAAAAATAAAAAATGCAATCCAGAAAGGATAGTTTGAAAAACTTCATAAAAAAAGAAAAAAAAGATTTGAGAGGACGTTTGACCTTTTCCTAGATTTTATCTTTTCAAATCAGGTGATTTTAATCTTTCATATTACATGTTTTTATTCCTTTTTTCTAGATTGAGTTTCAAAAATTGAATTATTGAATTTCTACTGGTCTGCTGGATGTTTTATTGGTCAGAAGTGAGCGTGTGTATTGGACTTAAGAGAATGGGATATGGAAATGCAAATTGAAAAGAATGCAATCTACAAAACTCAATCAGAGAAATAAAGTAAAAACAGACTATAATAAACAAAAGGAAATCTGAAAAACAGCAAAGTTACTCTCAAAGTAAAACATAAAGGCCACCTAGGCTCAGATTATACAGTTTTTCTACAGAAAACTGGATTTAGAGGTGAGTTAAACTTCAAGAGGAGAAACATGTGGCTTCATGTTAGTGACCATCTTCTGTTTCCTTCATTCATCATTCTGGGTTTAATTAGTTTGCACCTAATATTTCTGCATAATCCCACAGCTTATTTTTGTCCCATAAACCTTTAGCTGGAAGGAGGCATCTAAGCTTCCCTATCTGTAGACACATGATGTCATCTAAAATTAATCAATGCGCTCATTGGTTTCTGTTCCTGTCATAGTGAACCATAGAGCTGTGTATTAAAGCTTTGGACAAACAGGCTGTGCTGACACCAGTCTGCCTGTTAGGAGCTACTGAATAATATAACTTCAATGATATCATTGTTCTAAGTCATTAAATCCATTCAGTTTAGTCTGTCCAATCAGCTGCCTGTAGTGTCTGTAAATTTCCAGCAGGGGTTAGTATTGTGTGGTCAGAATTAATGCAGCATCAATAGTTTAGCAATGAGTCCAAACGCTTCAAGGTTCCCTTATTAACCCATCACTACTTCCTGCTGTCAGAAACACGTGTAACCCGCTGGAAGGCTGGGAGGGACTAAATATCGCGATAAGTAGGAGGGAAGCCGCGATATTACCTGAGTTTCTCATCCAGTCCAGTAACTTCGGGAGCTCAGAGGGATCCACTGATCCCAGCAGCTCCCGCAGCTTCAGCCTGGCATCTCCGAAATTCATGATGGACCAGAAAACCCACTGAGAACCAGCCCACGGTGCCGCTTCTCACTCAGAACCACTTTATTTCTATTCTTCTTCTTCAATATTACAAACGGCATGTTTCCTTACTGACCCCTAGTGGCGTAGATTCCACATTACACCACACTGTTCTTATTTTTTTTGTTGTTTATTGTTTTTGCTCTGTTGTTATAACTCGTTACTACACATAAGCCTCTTAGTGTATTCTACGTGGATATTTCTATTTGAGTAAAGGCCTTTTTGTTTGTATATATCCGTTGATAAAGACTTACCTAATAAATAAACTTTTAGTACAAGGATTTGCTAATTGTACAAAATCATTACATTCAGGTTTCCATAGAAATGATCAAGTTCTATTATTAAATATGAGTTAAAGCACATCTAATGAATGTATGAAGCAAAGCTATTTAACATCTGAACATTTAAGCAGTTTAAAAAATGTATCGGCTAATCAGTTATGAATTAAGATGAATAAATCTTCCATCCCTCCTTTATCACCTCCATCAGTCTATGGGTCAGGGGTGGATTTAGGAAATGCGGGGCCCTAGGCAAAGACAGGCAGGAGGCCCCCTGAATTGAGAAGACAACACATAAATCAGACCCATTATACAGATAGAGAAATGTTAATAGAATAGACATCCATCATCTGTTCTAGGTTTTGTCCCTCTCTTCTTGTCCCTTTTCTTCTTGTTTTCCTCTCTATGTTTTGTACTCAGCTGACTTTTCATGCTGTCTCAGGAATGAAAGATTTTTTCCCAAACACTAAGCTCACTTAGCTGATTGCTCCTTCCTGTGTTTCCAAAAAGGCAAAAGTAAATAACCCAGTCCTTCTTCTCACTGTAGACAAGCCATGATCTGCTTATCTGTTCTCCATTTTTCATTTGGATGAAACAATAGCTGCATGAATCATGACAGCAGACAAGATAGAGGAGAGCAGGAGGCGGGGTTACCAATCTACTTGCTCTGGAGAGCAGAGTTCGCTGCTTTCAGATGTTGTCTCCAAAGTCTCCAGCAGAAAAAAGTTGCTAGATTTGGCGCTAGGCGCTTTTTTGAAATCAAAGTGCTAGAGGGGTCTGAAAAGTCACTAAATATAGCGACTAAAGCGCTAAGTTGGCAACACTGCTCTTTGCATCATTTGTTTTCAAATGGTTTGCTGCTGTCTGTTTGGACCTTTCTGAACATGTGCAGCAAATGGACTGATCCAATATGATGGACACTGAAGGGGGGGGCTGAGAAACACTTAATATGACATTTCAGCCAAAGAATTCTTTTGATCAAAAACATAATTAATGTGCACAAATAAGGAATAGTTGTATTAACCATACCAAACAGAGTTTCCATGTACTGTATGGGGCCCATGTTTGATGGGGCCCCATCAAACATTCTTCATGGATCTAAATGTAAAAAAGCATTTATTCAATCCAGTTCATTTATAGTGCCAATTCACAAAATATATCATCTCAGGTCACTTTCCAGTTCACCAGATCATCCAGTCAGATTGATTCAAAGTTTTCTATCCAAGGAAAACCAGTTGATTGCATCGACTCATTGACTCTTCAGCAATCCCTCACACTAAGCATGCTTGTAGCGACAGTGGAGAGGAAAAACTCCCTTTTAACAGGAAGAAACCTCCAGTAGAACCAGGCTCAGTGTGAGCGGCCATCTGCTGAGGCCGACTGGGGTTCAAGGAGACAGAAGCAGACATAGAAAGGTCCAGAAAACACACAAATTTCTTTTATTTTCAAACATTTATTGTTTGTTGCTTTGGAATCAATTTAAATGTTGATTTTAATCCCAAAATGCTTTTCTCTTTACAGACAACATAATGTTGAGTTTGGACTGCTTCAACATTTATTAAGGATTTATGAAGAATAAACAGATCATTGCATGAATCCACTCACCTGAATGATAAACAAAAATTGCTTCATGTCAGTATTTTTTTTATTATAAATGGTGGTTTTATGTTGAATATCAGAGGCTTTCTGTTATTTTTGTTGGGCAGCAATCAGCAGATTATTGCTTCGATCCATCCTAGAAACCGAATTTAACGCCTGCAGACTTTTCCAGACTGGGAATTGCTGGTGGAATCAGGAAGAACATGATGCTCTCCAGGAGGTTGTGATGTGAATGAAAACATAGACAAGCGGCCAAACCAGCCGTGAAGCTTGGTGGAGGATCTGTGATGAACGATTCCTTCTGTAGAGCAGGGACACACCTTCCCCCTGCAGGAGCGGAGGACGGCACCCCGTTCCGCTCCAACATGTCTGTTAGCAGACACAGACTGTCATCATCAGTTTTTACAGTTCAGAGTTCCTGTGTGGAGGCTGAAATGGTGACGTCACAGATAAACACGTCACACATCGACTTCCCAGCTGTTTTCCTCCACAAACGTCGCCTCCTGCCTGCATCAGCCATCGGCCATCTTGTCGATGGCGGTGAGAGGAGCGAGGATGCGGCACTTGTTTGTTTCAACGATGCGGCCGTTCTGAATCATCTCGTCCAGGATGATGTGAACAGAGTCCAGGTTAAACATGATCTGATCGCATCGCAGAGTCAAGGAGAAACCAGCAGAGCAGCGAGCATTACAATCATTTGATGGTTAACAAAGACACTAAAAAGACACTCCGGCTGGAACGACTTTTTAATCCCTGATCCGATTTATTTCCATGTCACACTGACTGCGTATAAAGAGGCTCTAACTAGGCAGGATGGCAGATCTGAGCAGATCTTTTTCATTTGTCTCTGAGCTATACACACATTAAAACCATTTCCCACATGTGACTTGGACAGATAATGAAAAGTTATTAATAAAAACCACTGCTGCATTCTATAGGGCAAAGCGAGTCTGTGCAGCATCTACAACCAAGAACAGATAGAGAATGTTCACCTACTAAAAACATCATAAGATCTACGTCTAAAGAAAAGAAAAACGCAGCAATAAATGGCGTGGGACGGTTTCTATGGTGACTGAGGCAGAGAGGTGATTCTCAGAGAGAGATCTGGGAAGTTTTTCTTTCTTATTTCCATAAAGAGGTGAGAGAGAAGCACTGCGCTTACCTGCTCTGTCTGCCCCTCCTCTGGCCATAGAGCTTAACGCTGCATCGCTGAGCGTGTGGCAGACGTGGACAATGTTGAGTCAACAAGTCATCTCCATGTCATGTATTTATTTATATTATTTAATACATGACATGGAGATGACTTGTTGACTCCACATTGCCCATGTCTGGCGTGTGGTTTCCAGAAAGTCATGTGACCGATCCAGGAGTTATTTCAAACTGACTGACTCACCAAACTGTTTAAAATCATATCTGTAAACATGATGCATCTGATTAAAAAAAAAGTCTCATCTTTTGCAGTTTATCATTAAAATGATCCAGAATTTTTGGAGCCTAAAAGGATTAGGAACATTTCAGCTTTTATTTTAATTTTCTCGTTGTGTCATCCTTTTCCTCTCAGTTATCACTCAACTTATCTGATTTAAAGTTGATTTCAAATGGACTCCTAGTTTATTTACTGTTTTTACTGCACTTATTGTTTTAAAAATTCTGATTTAAAATCATTCTCATTTTCCCCTAAATTTTCACTTTATGATAAATGTTTACATTGTGTATTGGCTGCATCTGAAAATGTCAAAGATATTATCAACTTAAACACAGATATGAAATAATACAATATAACCTACAATAACTTCAATTATATCATTGTTCTAGGTCATCAAATTCAGTTTAGTCTGCCCAATCAGCTGCCTGTAGTGTCGTTAAATGTCCAGCAGGTGTCAGTATTCTGTGGGACAGGATCAACCCATCACTAGTTCTGACCTTTAGGATCAAGGTCTGGAGGTTCAGGGCCTCATAATGCTGAATGCAGAGTCAGATGGTTTATTTACTCTATGAATAAAATCTTTAGAAACGCCATCTTTCTTCAAACAGGTTGCCTCTGACTGATGCTAAAATATATAAAATCAGAAGAAAGCTGAGGGAAGAGCAAACATTTTCTCTATGCAGGAAACTGATTACTTTTAAAATGATTGTATTCAGCAAAATACAACAGTTCCAGGGCAGAAGGGTGGAGGAGGGGAGGAGAAGGAGGAGACACTGCAAACACGTCGGCATAAAGGATACATCCAGTTCACTCTGCAGAGAGAAATAAAGACGGTTAGAGGGGAAACGCTAACAGCTGCTCCTCCATCACAATAACCCCTGCAGCCATCAGAAGTCTGTCTGCCGACTTCAGAACCAGAAAAACATCTTTAACAACCAATGAAACTAAATTCAGACCATCTGTGTGAAAACAGACAAGAACAAGCCAAATTAAAAACTCAATGTTTCGTAATATTAAGAGAAAATTAAGACAATAAAGTCCCAAAAGTACAGTAAGTCATAAAATTACTAGAATAAAGTAACATTACGAGAATTATATCATAAAATCACTAGAATAAAGTCATAATATTACAAGAATAAAGTTGTATTTTATAACAACTCTTACTAGAAGCCCTTTCTTCCCTAAAATGAGGAATGTGGAGCATCGTGTGAAGTTATACTTTAGCATCAGTTTGACAAATCAGGAAATCTTTTAGCAGCAGCATCAAACTGGGCAGGATGTCAAAGTGGACAAGGTTGCTGATTGGTGGAGCTTTCTTTCTGAAACGGGTTCATATATGACGACTTTATTCTCGTAATGTCACGACTTTATTCTTGTTATTTTCCGACTTTATTCTCGTTAATTTACAACGTTATTCTCGTAATGTCACGACTTTGTTCTCGTAATGCCACGACTTTGTTCTCTTAATGCCACGACTTTGTTCTCTTAATGCCACGACTTTGTTCTCTTAATGCCACGACTTTGTTCTCTTAATGCCACGACTTTGTTCTCGTAATGTCACGACTTTGTTCTCGTAATGTCACGACTTTGTTCTCGTCATTTTACGACTTGTTCTCGTCATTTTACGACTTGTTCTCGTAATGCCACGACTTTGTTCTCGTAATGCCACGACTTTGTTCTCGTAATGCCACGACTTTGTTCTCGTAATGCCACGACTTTGTTCTCTTAATGCCACGACTTTATTCTCGTAATGTCACGACTTTGTTCTCGTTATTTTACGACTTTGTTCTCGTTATTTTACGACTTTGTTCTCGTTATTTTACGACTTTGTTCTCGTTATTTTACAACTTGTTCTCGTAATGCCACGACTTTGTTCTCGTAATGCCACGACTTTGTTCTCATAATGCCACGACTTTGTTCTCGTTATTTTACGACTTTGTTCTCGTAATGTCACGACTTTGTTCTCGTAATGTTATGACTTTGTTCTCGTAATGTCACGACTTTGTTCTCGTAATGTCACGACTTTGTTCTCGTAATGTCACAACTTTATTCTCGAAATAAGGAAAAAAAAATCTCTAGGCTGGCCCTAATACTCCATTGTAGTCTGATTGCATCACTTTCAAACATTAAATCAGATGTTATGATCCAACAAAGGATCATTATTTCACTAGCTTTTTTAACAAATACTCCATTACTTTTGAGTAATTTTTTATATAATAATAAGAAGAATTAAAATGATCTCACTTTGGAGAAATTCCCTCTCTGCATTTAACCCGTCCCCTTGGGGAGCAGTGGGCTGCCTTTATGCGGCACCCGGGGAGCAGTGTGGGGTTAAGGGTTTTGCTCAGGGACTCAGTGTGGCAGCCTGTGGGAGTGGGTTTCAAACTCACAACCTCAGGATTCCAAGCTCTAGGCCCTAACCAGTACTTTTAAATTTACTTCACTTGAGGAAATGTTACTCTTAACTTTTTGGCACTCTATATAAAAAGCAATCAATCAGCTCAGACATCAGTGCTCATCAAGGGTGAAATGAAGCACAGCTGGCCAGGAACTCACCACACGGCTGAAGTATTTATCCAAAACCTCCACAAAGTTCTGAATCAGCTCGTAGATGGATAACTCATTCTGTGGGGGGATTACAGACCAAGCATGAAGCAGACAATCAGAGCACCAACCGGAGGAATCTCAACATCCGTGAATCATCTGCACACCTACCTCGCCGTGTGTGATTCCCACCACAACATACAGGGCAGCATACTGACGGTAGACCAGCTTAAAGTCTTTGTACTCCACAAAGGAACACTGGGAAGATGCACAGACACATGGTAAATCCACATAAATGTACAGTAAGCAGCTCTGAAATGTCCAACTATCATGACATTAATACATTTAAACTGTCCTTTCAAATGCTTAATGATCCAATAGAGAGCAACTTTAATGACTTACTAAAATAGGAATTTGGTGAAAATTGTCTCAAACACATATTTAAAGGAGAAGTCCGGTCATATTCAGAATCCAAATTTCTGAAAGTTCTTTAAATCTGAAATTATTCCATCTTGTTCGATAAATGATAAGTTGTTTTTTTTATTCAGAGTATTTTTAATTTGAATGTGCTTTACTGGAGGCATCCATGTTTGTCAAAGAACAAGTATATTGACCCTGTGGAGCTCCAGGTGGACAGTTTTGGTGGAAACAGGAGAGTTGAGGTGCACATTTGATTCTACCTTGATTTGGGCAGCCGTGGTTTTATGTTTTTTTGGATACAATCCGGGTTAGCACCCGAACATCCCTCTCAGTCAGCTTCCTCTTGCATCCACAGTTAATCCTGTTGGATGTGGTTCGTCCTTCTTGGTGGTATGCTAACATTACCCTGGATACTGTGGCTCCTCTTTTGAACTCTGGTATGTCACCCATAATGTTGTGTGCATTGCAATATTTTGAGCAAAACTGTGCTCTTATCCGCTAATTGGACCTTCAGACTCTGCTCTTATTGGTTCAATGTGCAATTAATGAAGATTGGCCACCAGGCTGGTCCAATGAAACCTCCCACACTAAAATGAGATGTGTTTCATTTTTAAACCCCTGTATGTCTTGTTTTTTTAGGGAACTGGGAAGAATTAAAAGCAAATATTCACTATATTTTATTAAACATTTTGAAGGAAGTAACTCCTATACCCATTCTGGTGTCTGAAAACATTAAATTCGAAGTAAAAGGCTGATTGATCTTACATATATCTCACAATTTTACCCATAAACGTATAAATTAATGATCAGTACTGTCATTATTATAATTTATATTATTCTTATGGCTTTTAGAAATGTCAAAACTTCAATCCAGACCAGATATAATTTATATAAAGTTAATGACCTTTTTAGGGACCAAAGCTTTATATTTTGACTGAATGTTTGGAGATGAAGCAGGTCATTGTCAGGCTGACAGGAGATCTACCCTGACAAATATGGCGGCGTTGTTGCCGTATGACGATGCTAGTTCCGCTTATTGAATTTGGCTTATTTTAGAACATTTTACAGCTGCATAACCACAACAGATGTGTGTCGATAGTCCCAGCAGTTGTTGTGGAGCCTCTCCTACCCCCAGCATGCAGCTGCAGCTCAGCAGGCAGGATGTTTACCTGATGTTTGCTGCGGCTCAGGCAGCAGCGAACAGCCACCGCCTCCAGCGCTGCTCTCCTGCTCAGCTCCACCGGCTCGTAGTACTTGGACAGTCTGGTCTGACCCTGCTGGTTCACCATCAGCACAAACTTGATCATCCTGTCGTCGTCGGCAGAACAACCACATCACAAATAGGCACAGTGCTGCTCAGTTTCCCCCATAGACAACAGCGCAGCTGACAGGCGCAGTACTGCCACCTAGTGGACTGGAGGGAACAAAGATATAACTGAAAATTAGAAATAGAAATAGAAAACCCCTTTATTGTTCTACAATGGGCAAATTCTGGTGTTTACAGCCGCAAAAAGAGTATAGAAAATGGTCACACAAATTTGGACCTCAGAGGAATGTATAAGAATAAAATAATAGTGAAGAGTTAAAAAATAAACAAATAAAATACTGTAAATTGTTTTAACAATATAAAAATTTTCACCCAGAGAATACATAACTGTTAGGTTTAAACACCAAACATTTTATGCAGTAACCTGTAAAAATAAAGACACAGAGAATTTTAGTATGATTTACTTGCAAGGAGAGTGATCAGAGACTGTTCAGTTACAATTCTCCAAACCACTCTGAAACAGCTCTGCCCTCACAAGCCTTTATTAAAGGAAACGCCCTGGCTACAATGTTGGTTCCGACTGCTAAAGGGAGGGGTTGAAACCCAGTCGGTACCAGAAGTTCTGCATCACATCATACAATATCATGAGATAAGGAGTGCTTCACTCCCCATCCGGTGCCAGTACGTGCAATCCTCCATTCTCCTGACCTTGCTTCCTGCACACACTAATAACAAGCATTAGAAAGACAGCAAGTGAAACATTTCAACACTTTGTGTAATACAAGTATACAGGAATATGCAAATGTGTAAATATGAATGTATAAGTATAATATGATTAAAGTAGAATAACTTGTACAATTAATCCAACATTTCCCCCCTGTTTATTCACTTTAAGCTATTTATTTTATCATTCAGTAGTTACTTCTTTTCAGATTTTCAACTATGAAATCATGTTTTAGCTGTAAAGGGTACACTCAGACGTACTTTAAACTGGTGGGTTACTGATAATGTCATTGGAATTAGGATAAAAGTCAGGAAAATGCGCTGTCTTCATCATCAGATGGGTATTTTTCAGTGGGCATGAGGGCATACATTTCTGCTTTCATGGGTTGTATTGCTGTGGTAATCAGTCTATTTAGCAGCGCTCTAATACATGGAATACAACAACATCCACATAAGGTCAAGATGGCGGCAAATACAGCTATAGACATTAAAATAGAAAGCACCAATTGTTTGTATTTACCAAAAATGTCTCCAAATCCATCCCACATTTTTGTGTCAACTCCAGAATGGTCTTTCATTTTGCTGTTAAGAGAGCGAAGGCCTTCAAGGGCCTTTGTGAGGCTGCCATCAGCAGCGGTGTTGTTGGGAATAAAGGTGCAACACTGATCTACAAAAATAGAGCACACACCACCTTTTTCAGCTAACAACATGTCAACAGCAATACGGTTCTGGAAAGCCATCAGAGAGGTAGCTGACAATTGTTCATGGACGGCGGAGAAGCCTTGTTCTGTTTTATTTCCCAGCCTCTGGACGTTATAATGGATGTAGTTGATTCTGTCTACATTTTTATTTATAGTACACCACCAGCATAAGAAAGATTCAAATCCTGCAGAAACTTGATTGGCTAGTTTATACTCATCAGGAACACCTCTGGGTACACCAATGCTATCAATATAAGTAGGGTCATCTCCACTCCATGCATTTTCAGATGCCCTCCTCCTTCTAGTATGCTCTGTGTGAGGTAAAATGCTCTTTGCAGTCGTTAACAATTCATCTGTTGTGAGTGATGTAACAGAAACAGGTAAAATCAAGGTGACAGCAGCACATAATCCAGTGGTGTTACATGGAAGTTTGTCAAACAATTTGTTATCTCCACACCACCACCAGATGTCGCTGCGGGATTGAGGTTAAAAAAGGTGGATACCAGTAAAATACTTGCACATTGTGTTTCATTTAGTGTGCCTAGTTTCTGGACCGCTCCGGTCCTGTTTACACAGGTGAAATTTGCCACAGCTACTTTTTTCAAAAAGATTGGTTTCTTTTTCTCAGTTGTGGTCAGGGGATAGATGTTATCCCAATAGGTGCAATTATCAGATGGGACCGTATAATTCATTATATTTAGAAGACATTGAGGAGTTATGGTAGCAGGAACCACACGTAACAGCGGTCTGGCTCCCATACACACAAGACAATCATTAGACACTGTTTTAGCTGCTTGTTCTGCCATTAAAAGCCAGTTGTTTGTTTGCCCAGAGATTCCAGTGATGACTTGAAACAATTCATCTGTTTTAAGCGGACCATTAATATTTTGAATTTTGATCTGTTCACCTTGGGCAGAAGTAAGAATCCCTTGTATCTCATCTCCTTCTTGTGTAATATTTATGGGGCACAAATACAAAGGCCAACATGGATTGGTTCCACTAGACCGTGCACATAGAAATGAGGAAGAACAGCCTTCCTTCTCAAGGGGTTCTGCTGTGGAGTTTATCATCATAGTGAAAACTTTGGAGGCATGGTTAACAGTGAACCCTGATATTCTACTCATCCATTTCTTAGCTAAAGGTGTCCATCCATACAATCCCTTTTCCACTGTCCAGTGGTTCTAAATACGTCTCCCCAACCATTATAAGTTCTTTGAACTACGTGAGGAAATAGGTAGAAATCATAACCGTGCCAATTTCCTGGGTCATGTTTAAATCTTTGCGAGAATGTTTGAAAAAGAATAGTCACCAAACTGATTACTCTAGTAGAGTTATAGCAGAGATAGACGTACCTTTTACAAATAGCTGGATCATGAGGGCAACAAGAATCCTTGCCCTGAGTGAGAGCTAAAAACAAAACTAATATGAATAATCGCAACATCATCTAGGTTCAAACTTCAAAAAGTGTTCTATGGATAATCTTTTTACACAATGGTCTACTTCCTATGACCTCTCGGCAGAGTTGTTGAACCTTCACCAGTTTGAGATGGTTGTATACTAAAAATACAACCCCCTTTGTACGATGGACTTCCTCTGAAGGTCGGTGAAGGAGACCAAATGTGTATTCTATAACAAGTACCACAGTAGAATTACTAGAGTGCTAAGCAGTACGATAAGGTTCCAGAGAATAATTAAGAAGGTGATTTTACTTATTACTCATCTGATCTAACTATCACTTTCTTGCAATCCATTTAGAAAACAAATCTATTATAACCAAACAGAATTGAAAGGATAAATAGGTTTAGGGAAACCACCTTTTTTAGGTCTTAAATTTAGCACATATTAGACATGCTTTACAAAAGTTTTTTTGCATAGAATATAAATCCATATGCTATATAATGATGCTCAATGCTCAATCAATCCTACAATCCCCCCGGTTGAGACATGAGTAAAATCATGACTCAATATAGCAGCTCATTCAAAGAATTTTTTTTTTATTTGGAAGGATTGGTTTATGTTCTGGTCACATATAGGTGCCATCATGGATTTTAAGATAGTTTGGCTAATTAACATGTTTGTTTCGTTGAATGTCATCCCCACTTCACATGTATTTAATAAGAAATGTTATGTTTAATGCAATGTTACGATGAAATTAGGACAGCAACTAACAATTATTTCGTAAATCGATCAGTCTATCGTTAATTCTTTCGATTAATTGGTTAGCCAAAAGTTCTGTAAAGAAGATTACTAATGACATTAAACCAGGTGAAACCAAAACATCTCCTCCTGAAGAGCTCCGGACGGAAAGTATTGACAGACAAAAACATTTTATAATCGTATTTGCAAAATGTTTATAAATTTATTTTACAGTTTTGGTATGATTACTGATCCAAGTGGGTTACTCTGTCGGGGAAAGCCAGATTTTACATGTATATTATGTTTTAGAGTCTCTATACTCCATTTAATGATGAATCACTAAATTTGTTTACGAATATGCAAATAATCAATTAATATGATTCATGTTTTCAGCCACAGATAAAATACATGAGATGGGCAACACAGAGTAACTACAGCCCAGATGTTCAACTTTCATAGTGAAGTTATTATTTTAATGAATGTATTATTTTGCTTGATACAGACAGAGCATAGTAGGTAAAAATATAAGAGTGGGGTTTAACTCTGCACAAGTCTATATATTCAGAAGAAAGTACTGTATTTACCGTCTGTCTCAGTTGTTCAAATAAAACCATTTTACAAAGTGGAAAACAGTCCTAATTCCACATTCATCAGAGCCGGTGATACTTCAACATTGATAAACAGCATCTAGTTAGTGTAGTGCCTAAAAATGTTTATTAATGTAGCAAAATGCTCCTTTTCTCTTTAAACAATGAATTCCTCTCATCAGTACTGATGCTCATATCAAGCACAAAAAAAAGAAAGGCATGCATAATGCATAGCACCAATGACACCAGACCAATAGTGTCCCTACCAGGGATGGGATGCCCAGCCTCTGTCTAAGCAAAGCATAGAGCATCCCTGCCTAAGAGGTTAACTGGACATTCAGGCAAAGTCAGTACAGACAGCCGGCAGGAGAGTCCTTCAGGATCTCTCAACCACACAAGCTGGATCTCCTGCACAGCCTTTAAATGACCTTGAGCTGATCGGACTATGACAGTCTCAGGTCCTTGGCCAGCACCTGGAATTTGTTGTTTAACAGTTGTTCTGCATGCACCACTGTCACACAGGAAAACTGTTGGGGTGCTATTCACATGTATAGTTAATACAACTAATCCTTATTTGTGCATATTAATTATGTTTTTGATAAAAATGCTTTTGCTAAAATGCCATCAGAAGGCTGATAAAATAGAGAGGAAAAAGGGACAAGAAGAGAGGGACTAAACCTAGAACAAATAATGAATGTCTATTCTATTAACATTTCTCTATCTGTAGAATGGGACTGTTTTATAGGTTTTCTTGTCAGGGGGCCCCCTGCCCATCCATGCCCAGGGCCCCAAATTTCCTAAATCCGCCCCTGCCTATAGACCATCATGACAGGAAAAAATTGATTTTCAGCTGGCCCCTGACCCGCCAAAGGATTTGGCAGCTCAATTAAAGGAAACACCTCAGTTTCAGGTTTGGGTTCAGGGGCTGGCTGTGGGGAGATTAAGCCTCCCCCCATATCTTTTGACCAAGCCCCCACAGGTC